ATATGTTTGACCTACTAAAATTGAACCAAGAGGATATAAACCACTTAAAATAGATCTATGACAAGCAACGAGAATGAAGGAAAACATTCCTTCCAACAAAGAAAAGTCCAGGACCAGATGGATTTACTACCAAATTCTACCAGACCATTAAGAAAGAAATAATACCAAAGTTCCTCAAACTATTCTATGAAATAGAAAGGGAAGGAACTCTTTCAAACTCATTCTAGAAAGCCAGTATTGTCCTGATATCTAAACCCAGTAAGTGCTTGCACGTGTGTGTACACACACACACACACACAGAGAGAGAGAGAGAGAGAGAGAGAGAGAGAAACAGACCAATTTCCTTGATTAACCTAGATGCAAAATTCTCAATAAAATACTTGGAAACTGAGTTCAACAATGTATCAAAAAGATCTTGTGTCACGATCAAGTCAGTTTCATTCCAGAGATGCAGGGATGGGTTCAACATATGGAAATCCATAAATTTCATACACTACATAAACAGAAGCAATCTCAATAGATGCAGGAAACGCTTTTGATAAAATACAACATCCTTTCTTGATAAAAGCTCTGATGAAACTAGGAATAGGAGGAATGTACCTGAACATAACAAAGGCTACGTACTAAATGGGAAAAACTGAAACCATATCCTCTAAAGACAGGAATGAGTCAATGGTGTCCACTTGTACCATTCTTATTCAATACAGTACTGGAATTTCTAGTCAGAGCAATAACTCAAAAGAAAGGAATAAAAGGGGTTCAAATAGGAAAGGAAGAAGTCAAATTATTCCTTTTTGCAGATGCTATCTTTAAAGATTCTATAGTATCATTCTGTACTCCTCTTTCTGAGACAAACCATTTTCACCTCTGAAAGTCAGTCTCTTCTGAAGTAGTGGAGTTTGAACTAGGGCCTCTTACTTGCTAGCATACTACCACATGAGCCACACCACCAGTGAAAAGTGTTTTTATTCTAACAAACTTAGTATAATATTGTTCTCACCATAGAGATTATTGAAAATGTATTCTTTCTCTAATAAACCTGGCTGTCATACTACACACACACACAAAAAAAGACTTCAAAAAACTCCTAGAGCAGTAAACACTTTTGACAATACAGCAGAATAAAAAGTTAACATACAAAAATCAATAGCTTTTCTATATACCAACAATGAACAGGATGAGAAAGAAATCAGGAAAACAATTCCATTCACAGTACTCAAAAAATTAAATGCCTTCAAATAAACTTAACTAAAGACATGAAAGAGCTGCATAATGAACATTACAAAACCTTGAAGAAAGAAATTGAGGAAGACACCAAAAGATGGAAAGACCTCCTATATTCATTGCTTGGCAGAATTAATATTGCGAAAATTACTATCCTACTAAAAGCAATCTGTAGATTCAATGCAATTCTCATTAAAATCTCAACATCAATCTTTGCACAAATAGGAAATCCTAAAATTTATATGGAAACATAAAGAGCAAGGTAAAGTAATCCTGAGCAAAAAGAACAGTGCTGGAGGTATCACAATACCAGACTTCAAATTATGCTAGAGTGCCACCATGGCACTGTCACAAAAATATACATGCAGAAGACCAACGGAACAGAGACACAGAAATAAACTCACACACCAACAACCACCTGATTTTTGACAAAGGAGCCGAAGAAATACACTGGAGGAAAGGCAACCTCTTCAACAAGCTGTGCTTGCAAACTGGGTATCTACATGTAGAAGACTAAAACTGGGACCTACAAAAAAATCAATCAATTCAAAATGGACTCAATGTCTTAATGTAAGACCTAAAAATGCTGGAAGAAATAAGCATAGATAATTATTTTCTGAATAGGACTCCAACAGCCCAGGAAAAAATGAGAACAAGAATTGCCAAATGGAATTGCATCAAATTAAAAAGCTTCTGCACATCAAAGGGAAAAAGCACCAGAATGAAGATCCAACCTACAGAGTAAGAGAAAATCTTTGCCAGCTAATGAACAGATAAAGGATTAATATCCAGAATATACAAAGAGTGCCCAAAAATAAACACCGAAAGAATAATCCAATTAATAAGTGGGCAAATGAATAGAACAATTTTCAGAAGTACAAGTGGCTAAAAATACATGAAGAAATGCCTGACATCTTACCCATAAAGGAAATAATATCAAAGCTCACTGGGTTCTCACCTCAGTCAGAACGGTGATGATCAAATAAAACAAATGCCAGTGAGGATGCAGAGAAACAGGAACCCTCATGCACTGTTGATGGAAATGTAAACTAGCGAACCACCAAGAATGGAGGTTCATCAAAAAACCAGAAATAGGGGCTGGAGGTATGACTCAAGTGATGAGAGTGCCTGCCTGGCAAATGTGAACCTCCGAGTTCAAACTCTAGTATACCAAAACCAACCACTCTTGGGCATATATCCAAAGGAGCGTAAATCAACACATAAGACAGACACCTGCACACCTATGTTTACTATAAAACTGTTCACAGTAGCTAAGCTGTGGAATCTGCTTAGGTGAGCAACGACTGATGAATAAAGAAAATGTGGTATATATATACAAGATAGAGTATTATGCAGCTGTAAAAAAGAGTGAAGTTTATCATTTGCAGGAAAATGAATGGAATTGAAAATCAGATCATGTTGAGATAAGCCAAGCTCAAAAAGCTAAATATAGTGAATGATTGAATTCACATGCATAATCTAGACCTAAATTGAAGGGAATAGGATCCCTAAATTAATGGGATAAGTGTAAAAGGTGCCTATAACCCTGCAACCTGATAGAAGAGAGAAGTGAATCTCACCTACATTATTTCTCACTGAATTCTTTGGAAAGTCCTTTAACTTCTCTGAGCTTCAATTGTCCTCTGGGCTAAATTATCTGTTAACAACCCTGCCTACTTCAACACTTCATCCACGATAAAGTGTTCTTTTCACCCTCCCTTCATCATAGGCCCCCCTTTTTATTCCTTGTCAACTATCAACAGATCAGATGTCCTGTTCACCCTGAGGATGTAATGTTTAACAAGACTTCAAAACACTGCAATAGAAAGCAGTCTGCGGAATTTACTGTGTTGGGATCTGACCTGAAAGAAAGGTGTAAATTCTTAAACAATGAGCACTGACAGTGGGCAAGTAATCAATCAGAAGCACAGTTCTAGAACTTGGTGTACACTTTTTTTTTTGGTGGTACTAGGGTTTGAACTCAGGACCTGTGCTCATTTGGCAAGTGCTCCACCACTTGAGCCACAATCCCAGTCCTTTTATAGTTTTTCATATAGGTTTTTGAGTTCTGCCCAGGGAGCACCAGACTGCAACCCTCTATCTACTACCTCCTGCATAGATGGAATTACAGTTGCATGTCACCACGTCTGGCTTGTTTATCGAAATGGGGTCATGCTAACTTTTTTGCCTGGGCTTGCCTGAAAATGTGATTTTCCTGATCTCCATCTCCTGAGTAGCTGAGAAGGCAGGCTTCAGTCACCAGACTCAGCTGTGATATATTATTCCCAGGGCAATAGCATCCATTCTTCATTCTAGTTGCTTTTGTTTTCTTGTGAGTTTGAACTCAGGGCCCCTCACTTGCTAGGCAGGCACTTGAGCCATGTCCCCAGCCCCACTAGCTGCTTTTAAGTGAGCAGATCCTAAATGATTACTTTATGAAGTATACTCCGAGTACTGGTTTATCCAGCCCTACTTGTCCTAAATTACCAGTTTCCTTGCCACTTTAATAGTACACATTATTGAGAATTATTGTGTCTCATATCTCTGTACCATTTCTAAACGATTCTGTATAGTAAAATACCTATTAACATGTTTTGGCCAATCTTAAGATTGAAGCACTCATGAGACACATTGAAGTGTGGGGCTGGGGGAAAGCTTCATGGTAGAGCACTTGCCTGGGATGTGCAGGGCCCTGGGTTCCATCCCCAGCACCATAAAGTGTCTACTTTTGCTCCTTGTCAGTTCAGTTCTAGAACATTGAACATCTAAACATTGTTTTTGCTTAAAGCCAGAGTAAAACTTATAATGTATTCTTTTCCAAGATAAAGTGTGGTTGAAGTCCAACAATTCTATCACCATCTTTATTAAAAGAACTGTTTGTAGATCTCTAGATTTTCTCATGAAGGCTAAGAGGAATGGTCCACATGATCGCAAAATTCTGACTCTGCCAATATAAGACACAGCAAGACAGGAATTGAAGTCTCTCCAATTTTAAGTACTTGGCCACTGTAGAGTCCTATAATTAACTCAGAAGCCAAGAGTTTCGGAAAACTTTCTAATATTCTAACTTCAGATGCACAAGCTGTCGTTTTTGAAATATAACTTTTTGCTGGCCATGGTGGTGCATACCTATAACACCAGCACTCAGGAGGCTGAGGCAGGATGACTGCAGTTTGAGCTACATAGTGAGACTCTTTCTTTTCTCCCACCCCTCCCCCACTTTAAGAAAAAAGGGAAAGAAAGGGAAAAAAGGCTTGTTTCAGGATCTTATTACATGATTTATAACGTCCATCATGTTCTGCTGAGTTGCACAGGGTAAGAATTTCTTAACATGTCCTTTGCGCAGAGGAAGAGTTGAGAATTCGCTTTGCAGAACATCACAAAGAATCTGGAAGCCAGACTGAACCTTTTTTTTGATATTGCTCCTCCCAATTTACCACAATGCTTTGCACACACATGCTGCTTAAAAAATGTTCATTAAACTTAACTGGAGGTAATTATGGAGCATCCACAAAAAAACTCTCAAAATAGTTTTTAAATACTGTATAATACAGTTACATAGTTTTAGTCAAGAATATTTTATTCAATGAGGTGGTTCACAATTAAATGCAAAGCATTTTCAAGTGTCCACATATTATGGGATTTACAACGCATCTATGAATTTATGTGGCAATGGTAAATGATTTTATAACTCATGTCTATTCAAGTGGTTTTCAATGTTTAAAATACATGGTAAAGGTGTGTATTTAACCAAAGTAACCACTAAAAAGGTGTACGGCAAAATAATTTTTTATTTCTTCAATGCCTACATATTTACAATCATAAAAACTTCATGCATTATAACTTATGAGATACTACTGTACTTTCACATTAAAAATTAAGAATCTTAGGAAAATCTAATTTAGCCACTTATAAAGAAATTAATGGCTGACCAGAAAATATTAAATTACTATTAGCTCAACATTTTATCACAATCATGAATAGCATTTAATCACAAATATCATCATTTTCTTTCATCTACACTTACTTCAGATTAGAATCTCATATGAGGAGCAACAAGACTTAATGCCAAATTAGTCACATTTGGAAGGGAGTTTTTAATTCAAGATTCATTATGGTCCACAGTATAAAGATATACTTTAATGAGGGTTACATGATGGATAGCCAGCAAATGAACTACGTTGGCCAATGTGTGAACTGCCAACCAAGCATGCACTGAATCAACAGACTACTTCAGGCCTTGGTAAATCCTGATTACTGTCAGCTTTCCCACAATGTTCAGGTTCTCAGAGGTCACTCAATTTTATAATTATCTCCAAACCATTTTCTTCATGGTCATTTAAGCTTTGTCTAAACAGCTGGGTATGTTGCCAAGCAACATCACCATCTCCTCTGCTTAATTCTGCTTCCAAAATAACTTCAGTGGCACCAGAAAAGTCATCATAGGAACGAAGATTTTTATCTGTTGGAGGGAAAAGAAATTTACACTTTGCTTTTGGTAATTTAAAAAGAAAAAAAAACGGTTTTGGAAAATGCATTTTCTATAGGCTGACTTGTAAATTAAAATCACGCCTTTAAAACAAATACAAGTTAATTCTTTATGGAGGAAACACATGCTTTGAAACAAAATGATTTTTCTTCTTATATTTGTGTCTCACCATAAAAAAACCACCTTTCTAACACAATGAGGTTAAGCAGGTTTTTATTTTAAAAATATTTTTACCACAGTAGTTTAAGTCTTATAAGTACAAGCAGTCTCCAGTGTGGTGAATAAACACTTCATGATTAACTCTCCACTTAAATGCTTACCGCCTATCACGTCTACATGAGCTGTGTCACATCGCAATGTCCACCTTATTGTTCCCGTCTGAAAGGTTTGACTACTTGTTCTGATGGAAACATTATCTACTTTTAGGCCAACTGACCCACACTCAAATTTCCAGGAAACATAAGCAAAAGATGATCCTTCCTTTCGAGCCAAATACACCTATGAAGTGGGGGGGGAGAGGAATTGTCAGAGCAGTCAAATTGTGGAGAAAACAATTAAAAGTCTTACTGGCATAGGTACTAGGTACAGTTATTAAAAAACAAAGTTTCCCCACTAAAAATTTCTTACTGCTAACATTGTAAAATTTTATTAGAATTTTTTTGTAGCATCTTTTGGTTTAGAGGAAATGCAGATGCTCCTTATGTACAGCTCTTTTAGGACCCCATGCTAATCAAATTTTGGTAAATTAGAGTCTTTTAAAGTAGGAAGTTCAGCTATTTAAAATGAGCTTTAAGTAGAATTCTGCTGAAAATGAAGGCTCCTTTTAAATGCAACTACTCCCTAACTTCTCTTCTAAGTCTGGATTTTCATAGAGTAAGATAGGCCATAGTCCACTCAGTCAAAACACTGCTAAGTAATGGTTTAAAAGGCAACACCCACACCCACCTCCCTAGAGCGCTTCCTGTTCTTCTGTTAGCATTCCTTCCCACGTTGAAGGTACACAACTGAAAGTACCCAAGTCTACTGGCTGCTTCCATGTCAACCTCTCTCACTCCTATGTTTTGAGCAGAAATCTGACACCTGCAGTGGGGTCCATCACAGGCAGTTCCATTCAACTCAGTCTCTTTTCAAAATATGGATGACCCTGGAATGTCTTGAAAAAGACTCATTTATGCTGTACTTACCACTCGTATAACTTTAAATTTATCTTATTGTAACTGCCCAACACTGCTCAATTCTAATTGCTCTGGTCAGATTCATATTTTTAAAATTCCACTTCCTTCATGTCATCTACTTGGCTTAAAATGAGAAGAATATACAGCAACTATCTTGGCTCCTGCCTTAAACCTAAACTATTGGTTTTCAAGGTCCTCCATAACAGCAAAACACCTGGAATGCAGCTAAATGTGTGTTCTAATTTAATCAAATCATAAACTGAGGGAACAGGTACTGGATTTAATAAATATTAAGCATTTATTAATATTAAATAGATACATACAGGCATATATTCAAGCTAGACTCAATTCTTCAGGAAACACCTAATTCACACTAGCTCTGGGGCCAATGGTTGACAGTACCATATAAAACACACCTGCTATGGAAATATCTTATTATATGTCTTTACTTACCAGGTTTAAAAAAAATCAATTTACTGCTAGCATTCTAGACACCATCATTTTTCTTCGTGGTTAAATATGACTGTTAATTTAATTTAAAAATTTATAGGATTAGCAAATAGGAGATTGTATGACAACAATCAAAGGAAAATGATCTTAAATTTCTTAGTCAGTTATCATAGTTAACTGTTGTTGATAAATCTAGATGTATGGAACTGTCAATGGCTCCACTCAAGTGCAGGGTGACCTCAGTGGAACATCCTCTGGAGCTCACATGTTCTACTACATTCTCCTCTCACCATGGTTTATAAGGAGAACCCAGGGCTCACGATGGCACCAGCGTTCCCTGGGAGTCACTGGTTTACTTGCCTTAAACTACCAGGCACCTACCTAGGGATTATCCATAGCTGAATCATTCCTTCAAAGGAGTGGCTAATAAAGGAGAATATTTGGGAACAGGAGCCAAACAAAGGGATTACTGAAAGAAAGCCATTTGGGAGGAACTTAAAGACTTAGGAAAGTAATCAAGGCAGAAAAGGACGCACTTGAATTTATGTCTAAATACATAATACTATGTCTCATGTATTTCAGTAGTTTAAAATGTTCCTTGAAATGAAGATATAAAATATGATAATGCAAAGTCAGGTTAACTTCAAATTTTTAGCTTACTGAACTGCCTTAATTATACTTCATGGGTCTGGGTTAAAACTGGTTTTCACTGTAACAGAAGGTTTATAATAGCAGTGGAATACACCTAAAAGATTTGCTTGTTTACAGACTCAAAACTTTTTCATCCTTAAAGGAAGGAGCTTTGAAGGTCTTAGAAAGTTACTGAATTCTTAAATGCTTAAACATTCCAACAAAAGGTTCTTTATACTAAAGAAAAAGTATGTTAAAAATCTGTATCATCTTTTTCACACACGTATAAATGTCCATAGCATTTTAACCAACTGAAGCAAAACAGTATTTTTGGAGATGATAGGAAGTGACCAAAAATATTTATATTTGATTTGGTAATTTGAAATGCACTGAAACAACACAATTTATATTTTTATAAAAGCCTCCAATTATGGTCCTGTCTCTGAAGAATAAATATCAACAGAATCAGAACTATAGTTTATTTAGAAGGAAAAAAAAAACTTTCTTAAGCTCTTGTTTGTCTACAGGGGAAAAGCATTTGCATTAACTATTGATTATTCCTAATTTCCTATCTGACAGAGAAGTTGTTGTGTACTGGTTTTTAAGACTCATAGATTTAACTTATTGCATGTAATTTTATATGCTCAGTTTTGCACTCTGTGGGTCTACCTAGGAGGTTAGTGTTGCTCTCCTACCCTAGTAAAATCAGAAATTATAGTTTTTCTTCCTGTAGAATGAATTCTATACTACTTGCCCCCCATCACCAGTAACACCCTCACACCTTCATGGAGTTTGTAAGCATATACAGTATACATAACTGTGGGTGAGGAAGAAGCCAGTGTGTCTGAGATAAAAGGTCTATGCTGTACTACTCACAATGTATACAAAAGAATTTGTTCTTTGGATTGTGGCTGTAACCATTATTTTCAGGACTGAGAACAATTTGTATGTCAGCTTCCTTCCATATTTTAGAAAACAGAGATCTTTGCTTAAAGGGTTTTTGATTACTACATGTCAGGCTAAGATTTTCTGGAGGTTTGTTTTTTAGTGTATTGTTGAGGTGGGTTTTCTGTTTGTTTCTTTTATGGGACTGGGTTTGAAAGTAGATGCTCTGCCATTTGAGCCACACCTCCAGTCCTGTTTGCTCTGGCTATTCTGGAGATGGGGTCTTGCCAAATGTTTGCCCAGGCTGGCCTTGAACCTTGATCCTTCTGATCTCAGTCTCCCAAGTAGCTAGGATTACAGGTGTGAAGCACTGGTGCCAGGCCTGAGGTGATTCTTTCGCACACTCTTAAAATTATTCTCTTGCTAAGATTCGTTCTAATAAAGTTCATCACACAGCGGGCACCAGCAATCACTCATCCCTGCAGATGCCAGCAGAGCAGCTGTACTGTCAGGGATTTTATTTTAGTTCAATGCTGGTAAACTGATATTGTTCATGAATCTTACTACTCTTGGTTATTCCACTTTATCACTGAAATTAAACATGAATTCACTTTCAGTTTCCACAGTATTTCAGTCCTTCCATGCTATATTTCTGATTTATTCCACTACTAGCTCTGGGAGTCACCTCTCTGGAACACCAGGGAAGAACATATTCTTCCCCTGCTCAAACCCTCCCATAGTTTGTGATTACATAACTGCAAGGTAATCAAAGTTCCTGGGATCTGAAAGTTGTTTACTACCCTAGTTTCATTTCCCACAATTCTCCTCATATTCTCTTCTGCTTACACATTCCTGAATACAGATGTTTTTCACCTCAGTGCTTTTGCACATACTGCTTCTCATACCCTCAAATATCCTCTCCTTCCACATCCTGTCCTCAAACTGAGAAACTCTCCTCTTCCTCCTCTCAGATCATATTTCTTCTGCAAGGACTTCTCGGACTAGGGAAGTCATGGCTCTTCCTTCTGTCCTCATTCCCTCAGGATCACACACACACACACACACACACACACACACACACACACACACACACATTCTTCTAGCACTTGATCTAAACAGTTATCCCACATGTATTCCTCTTACACTAGTTATGGGCACCTTGAGGCCAGCCTTTTAGTTCATTCCATCCTGAATGCCAAGCACAATGTTAACAATGTTCATGTTTGCTGACTGACTAAATGAATGAATTCTTGACATAACGCCATGCACCAAAAGTGCTAAACTGGTGTTAATGACAAAGAGAGCAATAAAGCTGCTCAGAAATCAAAAGCATCTAAGAGCATCCAGGGTTCACTGTGAACAAAGCAAGGTATCCAAGCCTTAGGGCAGTGCAGAATTTATGCCAGATACATTCAGTCATTCCTTCTTACATCCAACAGTCTTTCCTAAACACTATGTACTAGGCACTGTACTGGATACCTGAGTACAAAAGTGAGTGGGAATGACAAAACAGTTCTCTGTTGGAGGAATGTTTGTACTCTGGTTCCATGTCTTTTGAATAAACGTCATGAAGGAGAGGTGCATGGTGCAATCAATCTATGCAGGGTGAAATGGGACCAGAGGGTGTAAGGTTTACCCCCAGTTCTGAGGGTAAGAATAAGTTATCAAACAAAAAGGAAAGTAAAGGAGATTCTATGGAGAGTTAGAAGGGCAGTGTAACTGCCCAGAAAAGGCAAGGGCCAAACTCTGAAGAAATGCCAGAGCACTCAGTAATAACTAAGGTTTTGAAACAGTTTCTGTAGCCACAGAATGGAGCACATCTCTGAAGGCATCAGGGGAGATAGGAAGTTATGAGCATCATTTTTATTAAGATGTTATCAGTAATCTCCCCAGAAGTGTACTAGTCTTTTTGATTTGGCTTTTTATGTTTTCTGTAACTCAGATTATCAGTTGAACAATGCATTTGATAAGTACTAAAATTGATTAAGTCCATGTGACACTGGGAAAATACGGCTTTGAGAGATAACAGTTTGTTGTTAAAAATGTGACAGTAGGCGGCATGTGGTCTGTCATGTTCTGAGGTTTGGGATTACTGAGGAAAGATGTGCTGGGAAATAGGTCTACTATTCAACAGAGCCAGATATAGCCCGTAACTGGCAGTGTGCTAGTGAGGACCTAGAAGTTCTGATTTACATGGGATATACAAATTTTAATGACAACTGCTACTTTTGGGTTATCACTCTCTACAAATAAACACTCTAGCATTTTTTTTTTTATTGACTTTACACTCAGCTTTTAAAAAAATGGTGCCCTGCACCGAAGTGTATCAGGACATAAACTCTTGAACAGCAGTTTGTTTTCTATTTAATGGCCTGTGCATCTCATTTGCATCATTTAACTGCTCCTCATACAATACACATTCTTTGGTTACAATGTTCTAGTTGAGATCTCAAACTATGTCATGTTCTTGATGCCTTTTTCCTTGCCTGACAAACACCTACTCATCCTTCAGTGTCCAGCTCAAATGTTGCCTGCTCTGTAGAGTTCTGCCCCACTCCCACAGCCAGAGCTAATTTCTCCCACCTCAGTGTTTCCATAGTAATTTGTGGTTATCCTTATTATAAGCACCCTGCATGGTAGTTAATATGGTTGTTTATGTGTCAGTTCCCCATTAGATGTAAGGCAGGTACCCTATCTTGCACCTTTTTATCCATATAGCTGAGAATAATGCCTGGCACAATAGGCACTCAGTAAATGTTTGCTGGTGAGCAAGTGACAAGGAAATATGCTACATGGTAGCCCCGTACCTCAGCTTATCAGTACTTTCTCCATTGTCCTCCCTGTATTAACACTGCTGGTTAGGAGAAAGACATGTGTTTTCAGCAGGTACAGACTAGTCCTTGAGTGAATAAACACTTCTGTTCCATCCTGCTTTCTGTATACAAGAATTTTTAGGTTAAAGGTAATCTTCCAGAAGAGGTTCATCCTCTCTCATCAACTATATAATCAGTTACAGATATGTACACCTTGAAATTGAAAAAAAAAATTTGCAGTTCTTTAGCTAAATTTGGGAGTTTTTACAAACAAAGAAAGCAGAGATTTCGTTTCTCTACACTTTTTGTACGGATTAATGCCTAGTACAGAGATAGCATACAGTAGATGCTAATAAAAACAACCATTAATCTGTGACTCACTTTTCTAACCTACATCTTACAAGTGAACAACTTCCCTTCCCACTCAAATACCTTAGCAAGTTAATTTAAAAGCTTCTTACAAGTTAATCAATGCCTATGAAAAAAAATCTGTAATAATGTAGTCAAATCTAGTGTGGTCATATGAATCTCTGAGTTTATTTATAGTGTGTTTCTAAGGAAAGGTTTAAAAGCAAAGCTTCTTGTTACTGAGTACATGTGACACAATATACAGTTTGGTATAGGTGAACTACTATGATCTTAGCCTCTATTTATTTATTTAATTTTTTAGAGCACAGAGAAGGAATAACCTACATTGCTACTCAATCATTCATATCCTTATGACTCAACTTGTTAGATGGTTAGCTTCCTGAGACTGTGGACTAAATCTATTACACTTCCTCACAACCTCCATTTAGAAGGCTCTCAAGGTACATCTGTGAAGGAATTAAAGAGTGATACCTTTACATAGCCATGGAAAAAACTAGACACATGGATACACTGCTTGATTATTTCTTCCCATGCAAGAATTTAAGTTTAGCCTCTTTGATGAAAATGGATATTTCCTTGATATAAATGCAAGAATTTCTGGTGTACTTTTGATTACATGTTGGAAACAGTTTTCTTTTCCAAGTTAAAGAATTACTAAAACTAGTTTTGATGTATCAGCTTTCACATTATGCACATCTGAAAAATGAAGCCAATCTATGTTTGTTTAAACAATGACAAAAGTTTTAAACAGTTTCATGAATTAAGTTACCATGTTCCAGTCTGTTTCAACTTTTCTGAATATGGATTCCATTTTCCACAGACCATTCTCCCATCCAGAAATGGTTTGATTGTTATTTGAAACTCGTACATAATGATCTTTCACAACATTGTAACAAAGGTGGAATTGTTTAGAAATCTTCTCATTTTCAGAGGGAAGGAACAGGGTTTCCTTTCTCTTAAAAAAGAAAGCAGAGTTAATTTTCTAACATTATGGATGATACTAGAAATAAAAAGAGGAAATACTATGCACAGCAGTAAGAGACTCCTTCAAACTGAAAAGGAAAAAGTTGTGCAACATTTTATAGGGTAAACATAATGAACATAATGCTAATGTAGTGCCAAACATTACTGGAGAAAAGATAAGAAGTATTAGCTCTGACTTCATTTTTGTGATATGTGATCTTCATCCCCCTATTACCACCTTCACTTATTACTTGACTGCAAAAGTCTCCAGACAGTGATTCCAGCTTTAAGCTCTTAACTCTAAATCCATGCTACACACAGAGATTGAAGTGAGCTCCTAAAAAATCATAAACTGAGACATAACTCTTGCTCAACTCACTTCACAGTATTTAACTCCAAACTCACTACCAAAGCTCACAGGCCTGGTATTTGCCCCCTGCCTTCTTGTCCAGCTGCATCTCATGTGACTCTTCCCTTTCACTTCTATGCTCCCACCATATTACTTTTCCTTTGGTTCTTCAAAAAGGTTCAGTGGTTCCTGCCTCAGGGCCTTGACAGATCCTTGTCTAGAATGACATTCTTTTTAATCTATATTAGTTTGATTCTGTTTCATCCTTTAGGCCTCAATCTAAAGTCATTTCACCAGAGTATGCTTTCCTGAATATCCTAAGGTAAGACAATGCCTGAAAGGTATAGCTTAAAACAGATTTCTGCATGTGGAAATTACTATAAAAGCTAAGGTTTGACCTTAAAATTGCAGGCAATTTTTATATTCCAGTCCAAAATAGATCCATGTTTATTTTAATAAAAAAAAAATCCCTTCCCGAAATCACTGAGTAAACTAACATTCAATAGAGAGGATATCTTTATCCTATATCATTATGTGCTACTGACTCAGATATAAGCACAGTACCATTTTGGGTAAGACAGTTCACTGTAGTGAGGGCTGTCCTGTGTGGTGCAGGTTATTAAACATGTGGGGCCTGATCGCACCAATTGCTGGGAACATCCTCTGTTCCCCAACTAAACATCTTCAAACACTGCTAAGAGGCCCTCTGAAGGCAAAGCCATCCATGGTAGAGAAGCATTAATCTGTGTCAACATCCTACTAAAATATTTACTAACTCATCAGGATAACAGGCAAGACTTTGTTAAACCTTAGGCACTAGGTATTTAAAGAAATATAAAAACTTCAAATACATAAGAATCAACAAACACAATATAAAACATTTAAAACACAAGAAGAAAAAATACTGCTATTTATGTTTTAAAATAGTAACACTAAATGCATGAAAGAGAAGATAATCCTCTAGCAGAATCCATGAATATTGCTGCCAAAAAGGTTTTTAAAAAAAGAGCAGTTTTTTTTTAACAAATTGATCTTATAATTCTGAGTAACTATACTATGCAACTAGCATATTAATAACACTTCTGAATTCTCTTTTTTGTGGTGCAATGGATTGAGCCTAGGACCTTGAACAATGAGCCAAATACCCCAGCTCCTCTTCTCTTCTTTATCAAAGATATTACAGAATGCTAACACAAACAGATTGAAATAATATTTAAAGGATCATCTACCTTTTTATAAAGGATTACTATTACCAAAGGGAAAAGAAAAATATTTGTGTTACTGCATACAGCATGCACACAATTGAACAAACCAAAGTGGAGTAAGAAAAACATTTATATTTCCTAAAAAAAGGTTTTTGAGCTAGGATCCTGCTATATATCCAAGGCTAGCCTCAAATTCACAGTCTTCCTGCTTTAGCCTCCTGAGTGCTGACATTATAGGTGTGCATCACCACGCATGGTTCATAAAATGTTTTTTGTTGTTGTTTGTTTTGATACAGGTATCACTGTGTAACTAAGGCTGGCCTGGAATGCTAAATCCTCCTCTGCCTTAGCCTTCCAAGTTTTGGAATTGTAGGCCTGTGCCAAGATGGTTGGTCTTCACAAAATGTTTTTAAACTAAGATTAAGATAAAACTTTTCTTTCTGAACATATTACCACCAACTTTTCTTTCTTTTCCTGAATGACTACAAGATTTAACTCCAATTTTATTTTTAGGATTCACATTTTTCTATTTACTTTCAAACATCCATTTCTAAAGGGGAGGTCATTTCTTTCTAAATCTATGGCATTAAGATGGTGCCCAGCAATTGAGAAATTTAAAAATTTTCAAAAGAAGAAAACAATCTGGATATATGACCCAACTCGTATTTTTAAAGTTTAATCAACTTACGTGCCTTGTAAGAGGAAGCACACTCATCCATAAAAAAAAAAAGAAATGAAGACCTAAATAATATCCATGTTTTAAATTGAACACAGCTGTGAATTAAATTGGCTCTTTTTAACTGGATTCATTTAGATTTATACTTATAACTTGCACTGCATCAGCAATGATTGGAATTATTTGTTGAGTTTAACTCTTGTAATTCTGTGGTCTAACTAACATTTCTAACTGCTTGCTACAGATGATGGGGTAAATTAAAAAGCAAACATAAGACTTATTGGGGATAATTCACTCCCTTGGACACATTCCTTCAAGAGTGAAATGAGATGCAGCAATGGCAAATTTAGAAAAAGTAGATATAAAACTTTGTTTATAACTGTTTGATACTGATATGTGATTGGTTATTTTTCTTTCAAGCATTTTTCATTATAATCTTCCTAGATAACATTTTAAATAATTACACTTATAATTATGCAAAAATAATGCAATGTTAACTGAAAGGCCATGGCCAATGCATTTTTTTCTGTAAGCAAAGAGCACAGTATAGAAAGCAGGAAAGTAAGAACGATTATCACAGTAGAATAAATTAAATACCTCTGGACCCATTTCACCTCGGGCCACTCTCCAAGCCACTGACCCAGATATTCTTCCACCAAGTTCTCCAGGTTTAGGGGTTTTGGGAGATATAAATTCAACGAGCTCCACAATTATCCTCTGGAGAAGTTCTTTTCTTCTGTTTTCTGACAAAGACAGTTGTCTCTGTAATTAATGTTTAAAATAAAGATTAGGTGAATATATAAATCTACCTGTAACCAAAATATTCTTAAAGCATTTCATTTTCACATATATGTATGTATGTTATGTGGTAAATAAAAAGAATACTGTAGAAATCTTAATTTTATAAATTTTATGTTGAGAAAACATTTAACCTACTTCTATAGCCTCTATTTTTCTAGATTTAAAATGGAGATAGCACCTTCTGTTTCTGGCTATGAGGGACTAATTTATATAAGTCAAATGCCTTGCTAAGAAAAGCTAAGGAAGAACACACACAAACGCACATCACTACTTGGGTGCAGAAGCAACTAAGGACACAGAACTGGAAAAGTCCAGATCCCAAGGGAAGACATGAACTGCGGTGAAGGGAACACACTGCACCTCTTTTTCCTTCCAGGCATTTGCCAACTGTTTAGTGGAATGAGGAAATGAGGCTGGGAAGCCAAGCACAAAGGGTGACGAATGTGCTAAACAAAGCAGAATTCTTATCAGAATTATAGTTTAGGGGAGAAAATAAACTGGTGTTCAGTCTTCGAGACAAGAAGTTACAGCAAGTAATCCAATATCTCAAGTTGTCTCTGAAGAACTACATCAGGAGTAAGAGCAAATCCGAGATAGATTGAACCTTCACAGTGAATCTCAACACTGATTGGATTAAGATGATCTCCCCTAACTGCCAAGCAGAAGCAACATCAGTTATGGGTTTAAAAAAAAACCCACATGTAGACCCCAGCTCCTCCTCTCCTCAGTAGTCACTGTTAATAATTTCCTGTTTCTTACTTTCAGAAATTTCCATTCATGGATGTATGTGGGTGTAAGCCTGTATATGTGCATCCATAAATATGTATGTGTCACCATATTCAAAGGAGGGTTACTATGACAGATAAGAGAACATGCTTTTCTTTTTCTTTTCTTTGAGATGGAGGTCTTGCTGTGTAGTCCAATCCTTGAACTCTAGATACTCCTGCCTCAGCCTCCAAAGTGCTGGGATTTATAGGCATGTACAACCATACCCAGTGGCAGCATACTTTTTGTTTAAGTTCTATGAATACTCAAATTTTATTTCATTGAGTTTTGATAAGAAATGTGACATTTCATCTAAAAAAATAATAAAGAAGTCCTTAAATTTTTCAATGAATAAAGACATTTAACATATTAAAATCCTCTTGATAGCAAGTAATGCTACTTTAAGAATTTCAATGGGTTAAAAATGGAATAGTCTTGGTTATATAAAAAATTTCAAATGTCTGTCAAAAATGACAAATAGACATCACATACTTGCTTATTAAGCCCATTAATAGTTTCCCGAAGTACTGCTTCTTTAATGTTAGTTCTTCTAGAGATCACCTCTTCATGTTTACAAGAATATCGCCAAGTGACATCAACTACCTGAAACAAGTTACATAATACAAATGTTTAACAAGATTACAAACATCAATGTTTACTTGACAAATACCTAGAATGTATGTAACTCATAAATGCAATTTAAAAAATGCCACCCTTTGTTTAAATTTTAAAAACCAACTGGGCACCGGTGGATCACATGTGCAATCCTAGCTATTCAGAAGGCAGAGATCAGGATGATCGAGGTGGAAGCCAGCCTGGGCAAATAGTTCTGGAGACCCTATCTCAAAAATTCAAAAACCAGGGCTGAGGTTATAGAGGTCAGTAGTATAGTGCTTGTCAAGAATGTGTGAGGTCCTGGTTCAAACCTCAGCACTGAGAAACAGAGAAAGCATGAGAGAGAGAGAGAGTGAGAGCAAACACGAAAGGGAAAGAGAGAGGTGTGGTGCAACACCTGTAATTCCCAGCACACGAGAGGCTGAGGCAGGAGGAGTGAAAGTTTGAGGTTAGCCTGGTCTACACAATGAGACTCTTAAGTGTCTCAAAAAAATCAGAGAAAAAAAATCCTGTGAAAGAAATTGAAGACAATATTTTTTTAATTTCTGGACAGACGTATCTTTAAGAAACACTGTGATATAGATAAAATCTGAGAATATTAGCTTTTTAAGACTTTATCCATTTTTACTGTATTGAAGTTATATTATAAAGCCAATTTCAGACAAAGGTGCAACCATAATTCAGTGGAGAAGGAAAATCTTTTCTAAAAATTGTGCTAGAATAATTCATTTCATGCTGAAAACATATTTCAACAAAAATTAACTCAAAATGGATCACAGAATAAATGTAAAACTAAAAATACAAAATTTCCAGAAGAAAATAGGAGAAAAATCATTGTGACCTTAGGCTAGGCAAATACTTCTTAGATCTAACTTCAAAAGGTATAATCAATAAAAGAACAAACTGGACTTCAATTACTTCTCTGCAAGTTATTAAGAACATGAAAAGCTATAGATGGAGAAAAATCTTTATAAACCATATAATCAACTTATAGAAAAACATATAAAAGAACTCTCACAACTCAACAGTAAGAAAACAAAACACACAATGCAAAAAAACAGGCAAAGGGGACATGTGGGTGGTAAATGAATACAAAAAAGATGCTCAATGTGATTTGTCATTAGGGAAGTACAAGTGAAAAGCACAATGATGTATCTCCACATACCTATCACAAGGGCTAAAACTAAAAGCTAACCCACACTAAATGTTAGCTAGGGTGTGGAGAAACCAGAACTCTCACACAGTAAGAGGTGCAATCACTATGGAAAACAATTTAGCAGTTTCTTAAAAGTTATATATACATCTACCATATGACTCAGTCATTCCCTGCTTAGGCATTAAGAAAAGAGAAAAGCAAGCACATGCCATATGAAGACCATATACCCAAAGTTCATAAGCAGCTTACTTTAAAATATTAAAAACTAAAGCTAGGCACTGGTGGCTCATGCCTATAATCCTAGAGGCAGAGAATAAGAGGGTCAAGGTTCAAAGTCAGCTTGGACAAAACTTTCATAAGACCACATCTCAACCTGGGCAGTGGTGTGTGCCTGTCACAGTAGCTACAAGAGGTTGAGATCAGGAGGATAATGGTTCCAGGCCAGCCCAGGCAAAATGTTTGAAGACCCTGTTTCAAAAATAACCAGAAGAAAAGGGCTGGAGGCCATCAAGCAGTAGAGCACCTGCCTAGCAAGTGTGAAGCCCCAAGTTTGAACCTCAGTACAGTAAAGCAAACAAACAAAATAAATAAATAAATAAATAAATGAAATAAAAACTGGAAATTACTCAAATGTCCTAGGGTATATCCATAGACTGGAATACTGACTGTAGTAATGAGTTCATGGATGTATACAAATGACAAACTTACTAGACTGTACACTGGAAATTATGCAGCTTATTACATGTCTATTATACTCTCATAAAACTTTCAAAAAGAATCATTTTTTATTTTTAGAAAATTTTTTTCTCTTATGCCCTACCTCATCTTTAGAAAATGCTATGACATAGGAAAGCTTCTTGCCCCATCCTATTTCATAAAGGAGTGGTTTATCACAGACATCTTCACACGCATCACAGTGTAGCCACCGCTGCTGAGAGGGAGAGTAGACTTCTGTCCAAACATGGTCTACTCGAGTGAGACAAGAGAATGAGAAAAAGGAAATAAAAGATAAGATTATAAAACCAGAATGACTTCCAAGAACTATACACAAGCTCCTAATAGTCATATAATAATTTGTAACATTTAAAATTTTGTTAATAAAAATGAGCATTTTGTAGCACACACAACTCTAGAACACTTGTATTAATTTCTGTTTCTTTGAGATCATTGAAAATGCAGTTAATTTTAATTTTAGTTAAAAACAATGTGTGCTATAACTCTAAAGAAGATGAACATAATGAATAACGGCAGTAAAATTATCAGGCCCAGTTTGGCATTGTGAAGGAATTAGTATCAATTTTGAAGCTGCAATCTCTTTGGACCGTAAACCCCAGAAGTAGCAGGTGGTCTAATGAGATTTCTTGTTACTGATGCTCTGTATTTAATTGCAAGACAAGAATAACTACTAGCTGAAGGTTTCATCTGATTGTTAAAACAAAAACAAAAACAATGTTAATACGAGTAAAACTCCACCAAGAAAACTACTTTTTAACATGTACACAACATGAGACTTTCCTTTCTCTTCCCTTTCCTGTTCTTTTTCCTCTCTCTCCCTCCCTCCCTTGCGTCGTTTTTTTGTTTTGTTTTTGAGTCAGGGTCTCATTATATAGCCCAGGCTGGCCTCAAACTCTCTATCTTGCCTCAGCCTCCCAAGTGCTGGTTTTACAAACATGTACCACCATGCCTGGCTACTTGAGTCATTTCTAAATAAAGACAATACAAATATCATGGCTTTTCTTATATATTTTGTATACTGCAATTTAAGTTTATTAAATCAATTATCTAAAAATGAAGATTTATACAGCACATTATTATACATGTTAACCCATTACCATGAATAAAATGCCATTGGAAAGTGTTAACAAAAGCATATTTAGAGTACAAAGACACAGTGCTTCAGTGTATTATAAAAATCTTGTGGTTCCTTTAAAACTCCTGTGAAGTTGGTATTATTGGCATTTTACAGAAGGCAAATAGAAGCTCAAACTGACAAGGCCAAAAAGTAAGAGAAAATGATGGGCTCAGACTGTAAACCCAATTCCTCAACCTCTATGTCATCTCACATTCTGTACCTGTGTAATCCCAAACGTAGCGAGCTTCAAACCCTAAAGCTCGGCAGCACAGTGTAAAACAATTGGCCCACTCGCCACACCGTCCACATCTCGTTTCCAAAAGTTTCTCAGGGTTGTTGTATCTGGTTTAAAAAAACAACAAAAAGCAGCTTTGATTATCAAAACCAATATTTTTAAAGAATTTATATTCCCTCTATGTTAAACTTCAATCATATTTCTTATTTTTAAGTATCTACTTAATAGCCTAGATACAAGACACTATGCTAGATCTTATGGTGTCACCAATATTCAACTGTGTGTATGGCTTTAAAATAGTCATAGGCTGTAAGTAAATAGATAAGCATGGCTGTGTTCTCATAAAACATTATTTACAAAGCCAGGATGTGGACTAGATTTAGCTGTCAGTCATAGTTCACAAACCTCTGGTCTAGAGAAATATATTTCTAAATATTAAAATGAAGACCAGTAAGTTTATTTATTAAAAATTCACTTCCAACCATTCCATTAAGAGATTGTGCTGTGCTTTCTAGGCACCCACCTTGGGAACCGATTGCTGAGCTGGCATGCGTCACAGTAATGATCTTCTACATTGCTTGCACCCCACTTCAGCTCATCATCACTGGGCAATAATTCTTTATCTCTAGATCTAGTTTCTCCACCGCATTTGTTGCATGAAATGTTATTTACCCAATGAAAAAATTCCTCCTTAAACCAGTGTAAAAGCTCCAGCAGAAGAAAATCCTCATCGCTTACATTAGAACCTAAGAAGTTAAAAGGGAATCAAGTCAGATTTAAAGCTGAGAAGATCTAAAAGCATTCACATTATTTGTTCTCAGATTGGGAGCTGAAATATGAGAAAACATATTTTTCTCATATGTTTTGAGATGACATAAAAGATTTCCACAAATATGATACAAGAAAGAACTGCCAGTATACTGTGATAAGGACCCATGCCAACTGCACATTTAGAACAGGAGGGTGTTTACTGTTTTACAGTCTCTAACTGACATGCACTAATAACAAGGTCAGAACATAATGACCTTTCAGGGAACTATGGTTGGTTTGGAACTGATCCTGAAACACAACGGAGATAGAAAAATAAGTATGATTTAAAAAAACATTTAAAATGTCTATATTAGGGCTGGGCATATAGCTTAGTGATAAATCACTTGCCTTGTATGTACAAGGCCCTGGATTTGATCCCCAGTGACAATAAAAAATAAAAAACGGCCATATCAAATTTGTCATTACATATCTACATAAACAAACATGGCACAATTTAAAAAAAAAACACATAGGCAGAAATCACAGCATACCAGACACTTTTTAAAGATCATTCTATTAGCTCTTCTACCAGAGGTTCAACTGCACAGTTGAATCCACCCATGGATGTTCATTCCAAAACACATCCATGCCTACAGTGAATATAAACATCATGTCAAGTAAGCATGGTAAGTAATATTATGCCCACTCTATAAAATAAAGCTATCTCCTGTCATATTCAAGAATACAGTACTTCTGGGAAGAAAAAAGAGAGGGGTAAAGAACCAGGGAGACATATACAAGGGACTTTCATCTCTGAAGCTGTATTACTAAAAAGAGATTTAAAATATGTATGAAGGAAATATATTACATACTAAGATATAATAAAGTTAGTAATAGGCATTTGACATATTACATAGTTGACTCTTAAACAACCTATGGATTTGGGATACTGACCTCCTGTAAGTGAAAAACCTCTTTTAAAAAATAACTTAAGACCTTTATTAACTGGTCTTTTTTTTTTAAATAGAATTATAAACTTGTATGATAAATTAAAAATGAAGTTCTTAAAAATCTCAACTTGACCAATATCAAACAATTCAAAAACCTTTAAAGGTATAGTGAGAAAAAGCAGGCTTTTTGAAAACAAAAAGAGATGACTTAAGTAACATAAAATCCCCATGCTGCAGAGATAATGCAGATAGTTTTAGTTATCTCAGCAATGAGTAAAAGACAAGCACTAAAGGTCTTCAGCTCCAATCTGTGGTTCATTTCTTATTGCTGGAATTTCATATTCATTTTTTGTTGCATGACCAGATGATAGTAGAGATGATGAACTGACATTACTCAGGCCTAAGTCCATTTATGCCACCTTGTGAATTAGGATTTTTCTGGATTCTGGGTAAGTAACTGAAGTTGTAGCTGTACTGCTGCTGAGGGACCTACTAAACTTGGTTCTCACTTCCTTGATTTTCTTTATCTTCTTCACTGCTATCCTTTCTGGCTCTTTGGCAAGGAGGGCCCTGTAGAATTGTGGTCTACAAGCTCACAAACATTCTGTCTTATGGTCCACCGTGTTCTCCTACCCCCCAGCTGTCAGCACTCCCGTTTACTTCTCCTTGGACCTGCATTGCCTGTGGTAGGGCCAGCTGTTGTTAGAGCTGGCCTTTGGTATACAGTATTTTACTATAGTTAATTTTAGGCAGTTACAATACTACATCTTTATTTTTGTTCACACTTCTCTTAACTGAATGGAGCCATGTATGGTTTGTATTTGTAGGCATTAAAGTTTGAAAATTCTTAATTTTAAAATGTACTTGTGGGAGCCACTATTTTGACTCTGTGAATAAGAGGCAGGTAACAAAGGAAGGATTATATTCTAGAGATAAAGGAAGAGCATCGAGAATCACAAAAGCAGAAAACCAGGCAAACTGAGGCAACAGGAAAGCAGCAAGCAGTGCCAGGCTGTCCTCAGCTTCCCAGGCGGGGGGAGAGGAGCTGAAGATACAAGTCTGCAAGCTGCTATGATGTAGCACACTATGAAAGTACTTTCCCCGTTCTGGATTCTGGACAGCTTGAGACTCAAGACCATAGTTCCCACACAGGTCATGATGACCCAAAACAACTTCAGAAGCATGATAAAACTATCTTACAGCTCTCTGAAGTAGTTCCTTTTTTATTTATGGAGATTGTGTATTCTCTTGACCTCAATAGAGATATAAACTGTTGAAAATTATTCACTTCCTTAGCAACTTACCAAAACACCAGAAGATAATGTGCTTAAAATTTTTTCAAGAATATTTTTAAATTGATCTCACAACATAATCATCAATTCAATTTAGTGGTTAGTCTTAAATTGCGTATAAAGTTTGTAGTTTATTTTTCTATATTAGTCAGTTTCAGTTGAGAACGCCCTCCTCATTTCCGTAAGTCTAATTCTATTATTTTCTAAAATGGACCATTAATTGTCCATCTCATAAAGAATATTTAAATTGTGAAATATTTCCACGAAAATAGATGCTAAATGGTAATGAAAGAAATCTTAAACTTTTGTTCCTTTAAACACTTTTTAAACAGGTGTTTAAAAATACATGATAATAAATGAAAATTTAAAGCACATTTTCTTATACAGCTATACTTATATCGTCATCTTAAGAGGATACTTACATAGAAGTTTTTAAAATTTGGAAGTCTAATGGCCTTTGTAATTTTATGTGACCAATATTCAAGTATTTTTTAAAGAATTAGTTGCATAAAATGTTTTTCAATAAATATCTCCTTTGATCCTGTTGAGTAAATGTTACACAATATTCCTGATTGTTAAAATGTAATTAAATTATATATAATTAAGTCATACAGGCACTAATAGATTTCAATATCCACCCAGAAATACTTTTTATACTTCTCAAATTTAAATTCTCCACTTTTGTGTATTTTTATGGAAGTATGATAAAAAATACTCATATATAATTATTTCATGCATTCATGACACTTTTCTTAATTTTTTCCCTATTTCTGCAAGTTTTGTTTTTGAACTGCTATAAACCACCAAAAAATATTCTGTAAGTGGACTTGTATAGTTCAAACTTTGGTACTGCTAAAAAACAAAACAAACTGTAAGTTACCTACAGAATTCATATGGAGGAGAAAATGCACAAAACAGCCAACACAACTTTAAATAAGAACCATGAAGAACTTAAGTGCTTGCTTTTGGCTCACTGACTAGATAATTAGAACTATCTGCAATATCTATACCTGCTAGGGTTTTTATTTTATCAAAAGGTTGATCTTTTTGGTAATCACATGTATATTTTTCTTTTTAAGTTTACTTTTTCTCAATATGCATTTATGTTTTTTGGGGAGAGGGTGGTGCTTGGGCAGTATTGGGGTTTGAACTCCAGGCCTCGGGCTCGCCAGGCAAGCATTCTATTACCACTTCAGCCACTCCACCAGTCCTCTTTAAATGTTTTTAAAAGTAAATCTGCTTACTGAATATCAAAATGCATTATGAAGAGCTAATAATTAAAATATGATGGTTTTGTTAAAAGAATGCTCGGATAGATCAATTAAACAACAAAAGAAGGCAGCCCTGAAAGAAAGATTTTTAAATGAACATACAGTTTTTAATGAAGTGAGCACCAGGTATGGTGGGATACCTCTGCAATTACCAGCACTTGGGAGACTGAGGGAAGAAGATTATGAGTTTGAGATTAGCTTGGGCTATGTAGTGAGACCCTATCTCAAACACAAAAACAAACAAAAAACAAAGTTAGCATTTCAAAGCAGTTCTAAGATGATGAACTGCTAATAAGCTGGGACAATTAGCTGTCTAGGTATCAAATATCTACTGCATACTTCATTCTGTCTTTAAACTATAGAAGTTAGACGTGAAAGGAGAAAAAGTAAGGTGCAAACTATAAAACTTTTGAAGATACACTAAATGAGTTAAGGACGAACCCTCGGAGGAAAAAACTGTTAATAAGTCTAACAAAGGAAAGACATCATTAAACGATTTATTTTTATAGATAACGTGTAAATATACAGAGAAAAGACATGAAAAGGAATGCATCATAAAAATAAGAGCCACTACCATATGAAACAGGAAGAGGGCTAATTGGCAGTTTAGCTTTTCCTATGTAATAGCAAAGATTTCCACCAAGAAGACATTCATGCCTTGTTAAACTAAAAACAAACTTTCAGAAACAGAATGCTGCCATCCTCTTCCTCAGTCTAGTCTGTAACAGCCAGAGCCACGTAATCTTATTAAAAATGCAAGCCAGGGTGGGATATGGTTCAGTGACAGAGTGCTTGCCTAGCATGTTTAAGGCCCTGTGCCCCATCCCCAGCACTGGAAAAAAAGAAGGCAGATCATGTCACTAAAAAATCTTCAATGGTAGCATGTGTAAGGTTTTGAGTTCAAGCCCTAGTACTAAAAAAAAAACCCAACAAATGTGTTTTCATATCACTCAGAATATAATTCAAATGCTCTACTCTTGTTTTTCCAGTTGGCCCCAGCAGAAGACTGACCACGCAAGATTTCCACATCTTAATCCCTGGAACCTATCAATATAGTTACTTGACCTGGCCACACCAAAAAACAAAAACAAAAATAAATGTGATGAAGTTATGGATCTGCACCTGGAGAGATTATCGAGGAACATATGAAAGGCCCTGATGCAATCACATATACCCTTACACACAAGGGAAACAGGACATTTAGCAGACAGATGAGAAGGCCACATGAAGACAGGGTCTTGAGGACTGGAGTGATGCACCCCCAAACGAAGGACTGCCAGCAGCTACCCAAAAGTCAGGAGATGCAAAGAACAGATTCCACTTTCCAGAGAGGGTATGTTTGCTGACACCTTGATTTTGCCCTGTGATATTGATGTTAAGTTTCTGATTTCCAGAATTATGGCAGAATAAATGTTTTAAGTCAAAAATTGTGTGTTAATTTGCTATCATAGTCATGAGAAACTTGTATACCTCCTTACTTCTCTTTCATTCTACTACAACCATAGTGCCCCCCAATCCCTTAAACTTGCCAAGCTCACTCCTACCTCAGGGACCCTTTACTGTTACTAGTGCCCTCACCTGAAAGGGAAATCACTTCTTTTCCGAAGAAACCCTCTTTGACAGGCCCTAAATCCTGATGCTCTATCTTTAAAATCATTCAACAATATTTGATGCATTTGAGTATTTTGCTGTGTTTTTTTCCTGGCTGGCTCATAACAGGTACTTTGTTTTTCTCATTGCTATGTATCACCAACAGAGGTATACTTGCGACACAAAAGATGCTCAATATTCACATCAACAATGGAGGAACTGAACAGACAAGTCTCAAAGTATGATTTAGAATTAATATTGTTCACCAAATTGTCATTATCAAGTCAGGAAAGAAAGGAAGATATTATATTTGTACTTCTGTGTGTTACGTACTCCAGGCAGAGATCAGCAGGTTTCCAGCTAGAAGTATGACAGCCAAACAGGCGCACTTCAGAATCAATGTTCTTGTTAAGCAATATCCTCAATAATGGCTCTGAGAAATGAAGGTGGATTCCTGTCTAAGATAGGAACTCAGAAATCTCAGAGATGATGTGTGCTAAAGGTAGGTCTTGCTTAAATGATAAATCCTGTGAAGATACTACCTAGATGATGGAGTTTATTTTTAAAATATAATTAAGACATCAAATTGGTAAATTTAATATGTAAATAGAAATTAATTTCTTTCCTTTTTTTGTGGTACTTGGGTTTGAACTTGGGCCTACACCTCAAGCCACTCCACAAACCCTTCTTGTTGACTTGTGATGGGTTTTTTCAAGATAGGGTCTCATGAACTGTTTGCCCACGGCTGGCTTTGAACAGGGATCCTCCTGAACTTTGCCTCCTGAGTAGCTAGGATTAAGGTGTGAGCCACTGGCGCCTGGCAGAAATGGATTTCTAGTAGCTCTTCAGTGACAAAATAAAATTAGCAAGTATAGGCCCTGACTCCACTCTTTGAAAACCACTGTTATCAATATACACAAGAGGGAGAGAAGAAAACAGGTAAGGCTACCAGCAGAACAGCCTTATCCTTAGACATACCTTAGGACTCAATATTCCCACCTTATGTCTTCATAGTCAACTCAGTAGGCTAACGTATTATTTTCCAAAATGACAAGCTTCTTTCTCCTGCAAAAAGGAATTCTGCCTGCACCTGGAAACTTTAACCATGAGAAACAATAATAAAAAGCTGAAACAAATTTTTTTCTCAGACCCATCAGAGAATTGAGGTCACAGAGCAAACTGACACCTGAAATCCTGACAGAGAGAGGCAAATATAGAGAATCACAGCCAAGATATACTACATGGAACAGAAGCCACTGAAGCCATAAATTGGTGACAGTACACTTAAATAGCAATTTTGGCAAAGTGCTGGAGACTGAATATAATAGATAGGCATGGGAGTGGGGAAGGCAGTAATGAGAGATGTCCCCATACTTTCCTGCATTTTGCTTACAGAAACACTATAGCAACAATTCTCATGATGAACCACCAAAAAAAGAGCCCTTGTGGCTCTATGAAAAGAGGGGAAGAATAAGTATTGTGAATGACACCCTTCTATACAGTTATGTCCTACTCTCAAGGAGAAGGTGCTAACAGGGGCTTATCTGAACTGAGGGAAGAGCATTTCCCCGACTCTACCTCCTTTTGGCCTTCTTGTTTTACTGATGATGGTGTGGGGGAAGCTAAGACATTTGTGAAAGTCATAAATCAGGGATATAAGCCCAATAAACAATGACCCTGAATCAAAAAACTACAGAAGTTTGTTCTTCCTCATACCTTCCCATTACACCAACAGGACTTCCTTCAGTTTAAAAGACACTGAATTACAACTAAGACAGATAAAGGATGCAGATTCCCATCTAAAGGATAAGAACATCAAATAACAAGAACACCAGAGAAATCCAATGTCTTTGATTCCTACAGCTGTAAGTAACAATAAATGTGGTCTAACTTTCAGCTTGATTAACATAAAACCTTCCACAAAAGGCCTATTGCTGGTATGGGGGCACACACCAATAATTCTAGCACTAGAGAGGCTGGGGCAGGAAGACTGAGTTCCAGGCCAGCCTGGGCTACATAGTGAGACCCTGTCTCAAAAAGGCAAAAATAACACCAGTTTACCTTTATTGTTCCTGTTACCCAATATTCTATGTTGATCTTTTAACAAAAAATTACAATGCATGCTAAAAGGCAATAAAAAGTATGAAGAGACAAAACAAGCATCAGTGTCATTCAGATGTAGCACCAATTTTGGAACTAACGGAATTAAAAATAACTATGACTAATATGTTATGAGCACTAATGGAAAAGCTAGAAAATATGTAAGAACAGATGAGTAATATGACCAGAGAGACAGAAACTAACAACAACAACAACAACAAAAATCTAAAAGACATGCTAGAAATCAAAAACCTGTAACAGAAATGACGAATACCTTTGATGGGCACTTCAGTACAATGGACACACCAAAAGAATCAGTTAGCTTGAAGGGAGATTAACAGAAACTTCCCAAACTGAATGCAAAGAGAAAAGGAAAGACAAAAGGAACAGAGCATTCTAGAATTGTGGGCGAACTTAATAATGGAACAGAACATCTACGAACTGCAGCAAACTGAAGCACATATAAATGAATGTAAAATAAAATCAGTATTAGAATATCAGAAGAAAAAGAGAGAAGGAAGAAGAATGTCTAGAATTCTCAAAGGTTACAGAGATACCAAACTACAGCTCCAGATGCTCAGAAAAAAACCCAAAAAATTTGCACCTAGGAGAATTTCATTCAAACTGCAGGAAGCCAAAGACAAAGCAAAGATATTGAATGAGAAATAAAGAAAGAAAATATAGAAAACTTCTCAGCAGAAATAACGCAAGAAGAGAATAGAGTGAAATGTTCAAAATGTTGAAAGAAAAAAACCCAACAACCTAGAATTCTATATCTTGGTGCTATTATTGTCTCAGACAAAGAAAAACTGAAGGACTTCATCTCCAGCAAACCTGCCCTGAAAGGAGTTCTTTAGGGAAAAGGAAAATGACACGGGTCAGAAATCTGCAACTACAGAAAGAAATAAAGAACATCAGAGAAAGAATAAACTCTGGTAAAATGGTATCTTTTACTTTCTTTATTCTTACTTGATCAAAAGAATTAACAGCTGCAATATGTTGGATAATCAAGCTATATGGCTGTGTGACATGGATATTGAATGACAATCATGTCATAGGGATAGGAAAGAAAAACTGGAGATAACTTTAAAAGATTTCTGCACTCTATCTTAAGCAGTACAGTGTTTTTGAAAGTAGACTATGAGTAGTTAAAAATGTTTATTGTAAATCATGGCAATAACTCCTTCCACAGCATTTCCACAATGCTGTGGGAAATGCATTAGGCAATTAGGGATAAAACCCAATTACATTAAAAACTCAAAGTAAAAGTAATTACAGTTGGAAAAAAATTAACTAAAATCCTAACACCATTAATGATAACAACAGCAAATGATTATGAATATGGCAGGTGTTTTACTGGGCTGATTAAAAGTACTATCTCATTTACTTTTTAAAAATCATACTTCCTATTTTCAAATGAAGAAATTAAGGCCCAGACATTAAATTGCTTGCTGAGTGAAGCCAAAGTAAGCAAGCAGCAGCACTGAATTTATATTAAGACAACTGTCTTCAAAATCTACTCAATCAATAAATGTCTCTACTAGCAAAAGTGAACTAATGGTCTAATCGTATGGATTATTTCCTAATAGTTTCTGCTATTCACATTAAAACTCAGTAATTAAAATTCACTAATAATGTTACATTGTCCATGAGCTAAGGGTCTACTTTAAATATCCACATACCAATGATTAAACTGGAAAAATGTTCAGACTAAAAAAACCTTTTAAATAATTATTAGGGAAAGGAAAATCAAAACAACACCTCACCCCTTTTAAAATGGCTACTATGAAAAAAAAATAGTAAGGTGAGGATGCAAACAAACTGAAACAAACTTCGGTGCACTGCTGACTGGGATGTAAAAGGGTACAGGTACCATGGAAAAACAGTATGACAGTTCCTCAAAATTTAAAAATACAATTAGCATATGATCCAACAATTCCAATTCTGGGTATAAATCCCAAATAGTTAAAACCAGAGTCTCAAAATTTTGTCAGTATAATACAATATGAATGAATTTTGAGGGAATTCCTCTAAAAGTAGGATTCTACTTACAGTAGAAACAATGGTGATTGCCATAGGCTGGGGGAGGGCAAAATAAGAGAGATTGCTTACTGGGTATAGAGTTTCAGTTTTGTAAGACAAAAAAAGAAGAGTTATGGAGCTGGATGGAGGCAAGGGTTATATAACATTATAAATACATTTAATAGCATTTAACTATACACTTAAAATGGTTCAGATGGTTTATTTTCTATTATGTATATTTTATCACAATATAATTCTTTAAAAAGCTAGATATATAATATATATAATTATTATACATAATAATTATATTGAACATACAATATATGTCCAATATATTATTATTCTTAAAAACAGACATACACAGGGATTAGCTATTTACAATGTACACTGCAAAACGCAGTATTTCAGCATGTTTATTTAGCAATGATGTCTCTTTAGTAATAAGTCATTATGGAAAGCCACTACCTTTATCTAGTTTTCTGGCTCTGGATAACTTTTCTTGCGATTTTCTTTTTAGTTCTTTGACGGGAATACAAGTTAATGCTTTCTCCTGAAGAACAGGATTCTCATACAGCAGCACATGCTGAATGTTGGACTGAAGAACTTTTAGAATGGTGGACTCAGCAGTAACCTAATAGAAAAAATACTGAAATTAGCTTTTTACTACAGGCCACAAAAATAACATTAAAAAAACAAAAACAAACCCTGTGGTTCTGTGACTTCATAAAGGGGAACATATGGATTCAATGAAATATAATTATGCCCCAAACCATTGTAGTATTAATATTAGTATTAGGAGGTGGCCACATCAGTGCTAAAGATATACTTATTTTTTCCTCTGTCTATACTATTGAGGACATGTTTAAACAGGAAGATGCTGAATTCTTGACCATAATCTTTGACCAAGACAGTGGTCTGAACAATGCATCTGACAGCCTTTTCTACCTCAAATCCTTCTATGATTTTAAGGGATCAGGAATTTTGACAAACTTCTTTTTTTCTCATGGTGATACTGGGGTTTGAACTCATGGCTTCGGGCTTGCTAGGCAGGAATTCTAGCACTTGAGCCACTAAGCCAGCTGACAAACTCTTAACAGAAGAAAAGCAGATATGAATTTATGAGGGGAGAAAAAACAAGGGAATATGCCGGTCACATCACTTTTCATGATGACGAAAAGTTAAGTTTCTAAAACCATCCTGAGGGCAGAGGAGCCACAAGATTCCCACAGCAGAAAGGGACTTTGGAATAAATATATGGGGTCTTGGAAATAAAATTTTAACACTCAAATAAAACAGCAAGCCTATAATCCTAGCTACTCAGGAGGCAGCAATCAGGAGGATCTTGGTTCAAAGCTAGCCCTAGGCCAATAGTTCGAGAGACTCTATCTTGAAAATTTATCACAAAAAAAGGAGAATGGTGGAGGGGGTGAATAAGTATAATATATTTAATACATTGTATGAACCTTTGTAAATGCTACAATGTACCACCCAGCACACTAATAAAGGAAAAAAAAAGGCTGATGGAGAGGTTCAAGGTATAGGCACTTGAGCCATGTATGTGTGTGTAATACATAAAGTCTAAAATAAACAAACCCAGAAGTAGGATTGGAATTAAAAAAACAAAAACAGAAAATATGAGTAAATACAAGTTTTTCTTTTTCTGTTTTCTGGGTTTTTTTGAAGGAGGCTGCCCTAGAACTTGCAATCCTCCTGCCTCAACTTCCTAAGTGCTGGGATTAAGGCATGAGCCACCAGGACCTGACCAAAACTTAAGTTTTCATTAGTATAAATAATTACAACTGGAAAGCAAAATCTCATTTTATTTTCCTAAGTAATGTGGCAATGAAAGAAGAGAGGTTCCTGTTCTATAAGATGTTAGATAAATAAAAAAATTTTAAGTCAATAATTAGAAAACCTGAAGGATGATAGTTAACTTTCTAATTCTTACAAGGGCAATAATGGAAGAAAACTTAATTGATTAAAATAAAAACAAGGAAGGAAATCAGCAATACCAAATAAGGTTCAGAAACAAATTCCAATGTATTAGCAATTACAGCAAATGTGAATGAGTTCTGTATGCATATTAAAAGGTAGAGATAACTTGATTTAAAAAATTAAAAAAAGAAAAGGGAAAAAGCAAATCACTGGGCAATAGTGGCTTACACTTGTAATCCTAGCAGTTGGGAGGCAGAGATTCAAGAATAGTGGTTTGAGGCCAGTCTGGGCAAACAGTTTGCAAGACCCCAACTGCAAAATAACCAGAGTAAAATGGGTGGAGGTGTGGCTCAAGTGGTAGAGCACCTGATTTGCCAGCATGGAGCCCTGAGTTCAAACCCCAGGGTCACCAAAAAACAAAAACAAAAAACCACAAATAAACACACGAAAAACACAAATCATTACTAAATACAGTATATGAGACCCTGGATTAATCACTGGGACAGGTGTGCTCTAAAGAAATGATGGCTCTATAGTCTAAAGAGAAAAGACATTAAATGACAGAGCCACCATGGAGATTTATCAAATACTTGACTATATGAATGTGCTAAAATACTGGAAAAATAACAAAGAACAAAACAGACAAGGACATCGCCCTCACAGAGCAAGTAGTCCATGGATATGTTACTGGTAACACTAAAAGGTTCATTTGCTCAAATATTTATTGATCCTTTGTTTTTTAGGTGCTGGGATGTAATGCTAAGTTAAGCAATTTATTAATAGGTATGATAAGAGTTATAAAGCAAGTATAAAAGATAAAATGAGACTTTACAACTAGGGTTCTAAACCAAGACTTCTCTGAAGAAATGACATCTGTGGTAAAATGTGAAGGAAAAGAAGCTAGCAAAGAGGAAAGGCGAAGCCTCCTCCCGCAATGGCATGAAGATAGCTGCAGTGTGTAGAGGGATGTGCTTAGTCTGTTCTGAAGGATCAGAGAAATCAGGGTGCTCAGTACGCACAGAACTAGGGGAAAACGGCAGAAAGGTAAAAGCTGAAGATGAAGTTGGGTTGATAAGCAATTACATCTTTCTGGTCTTGCTCCACTCTACAGAACATGAAAAGACTCAAGCAAGGGAATAAGATGATCAAATTTGTTCTCACACCGTTAACCATTCTGTGGAGAAAGGAGGCATCGAGGATCTGAAAAGGGACTACTGCAGAACTCAAGAGAGCTGATGGCTTTCTTTTGGATGGTTCTAGTACTGATAGAAAAAAAAGTGAATGGACCTGAAAAGATCTTAGGAAGTAAAATCTACAAGTCTTGGTGAGTGACTGGGCTGAGGAGTCAGGAGCAATTAGAAAATGGGAAAAATACATCGGAACACAGGTTTTTGACATGAGCAACTGAGTCACTAGTTGAACCACTATAGGAAATGACTCAGAAAATGATCAAATGAACTAAATACCAGTGAATGATAAAGTCAAAAGAAGCTGAAAATGGTCCATGACATTTAGCAACACAGAGGCTGTTGATCTTAGTAAGAACAGCCACGTAATAATGTTGCAAGAGCATGAACTGTACAAGTTGTGTTCCAAACAAGGCTTGGTGCACCAAGGGAGTTGAACAAAATGGTCCACCGAGAGGGGGAAAAGCTGTTACGACTTCTATTTATTTTTTTTTCCAAAAAGCAAAGCAATAACATTATAATAATAGTTAATATTCACACAAAGACTCCTTCACAGTTGGAGAAACTGTCCTGAGAAGAGAGAAAATGCCACAAAGTAGGGGAGTTAACAAGTGGCATGCTCACTCCTGCATTGACAGTGGTTATGTTACAACATTGAGCAGTGCAAATGTGCCTGGTTAAGTGAATTTACAGATTATTACATAGTTTAAACCCTCAACCCTGGCTTAAAAAGATTACAAAGAACTATGGGCATTGAAACTAATATACAGTAATGTAAGCACATGTGAACAAGGAGAAAATGGCAGGACTAGCACACTTTTTTCACATGAACACCTTTTTTTTAGTATAAATCCTTTATTTTAGCATGAACAGCTACATTTTAATGCAAAACAAAACCAAAAAACAAAACAAAAAAACCCCTGAGATCTGACAAAATTAGTCCCCAAATTCAGAATTACCAAGAGTATTTAGAATATGGGTTTATGTCTATAGTATAACAGTATATAGTTAATAAATTTTCTAGAATAAACATATTATTTACTCTTGGGTTCCTCTTTACATTGTTTTCTAATGTATATAGCATACTGCCACAATTGTACATGATTAATTTATAAACAAAAATACGTTCAGAGTATACGTTCAAAAATATTTTATTGATAGGGCATATGAAGTACGGAGACTCATCAGACAAGTATATGAGAAACAAAGATACAATGACGAATATGGAGAAGAGGCAGTAAGAAAAAGACATGCAGGATCCAGAGATATTTGTATGTTGTTTTAGAATAGGAGATTAGGTTCCTATACTAATCTGTTGGTTAAACATGGAGATTATCCAGCACACTCCTCTTCCATTCTGCTTCAGGCAGTCTGGGATCATGTTCAGCTGTCTGTGTGCAATACCAGTGTAACATCTATAAATGAAATTGGCCTAAGGTATAAACGCCAATGAGAAGATTGTGAAAAAGAGAAGGTGGGAGACTGGGCATTGTGCAGTGGTATTTGCAGTACAGAAAAGAGAAGGCACCTAGGGCAGAGGAGGACTGACTTTTATTAAAGAGCAGACACACTTTCTCAGTTAACAGAAGCGATGAATTCAACAGATGAAATGTGATGTGGATCTGGTGATATGAAATCCAGGGAATTCACAATGGAGAATTATATGCTTCTTTAGCATTTATATAATTCTTCTTTAGAACTAATATAAAAACAGGAAAAAAGTCTATGTTTCTATTTGAAAGAATTCTTATAAAAATGAGGCACTTAAACTGGTATCTTATTCTTAAATGAAGATTTTCATTTATTGAAAGGGTAAGAACTCATCCAGAGTACTTATATTTTCAATTTAATCCTTTTCAATCTGGAAATGACCTCATTCATTATAATTTTAATGGCATTCAAACAATAAAGTTTATTTTCTTGCTTGTTTCTTCACATATTCATTGGCACAACTGAAAAAAAAAAACTAAGTCATAAAAATAGAAGACTGCTGATTGCATGGCGATGACAGCAGCTGGGTAACCATGTACTAATGCTACATAAGGCAAGAGTTAATTGCCTGACAGAGGAAAAGTTATTTAAAGTACAAATGGAAGTTTAAAATGTGAAATCTGTTTTAGATCAAAAGAGTGTTTTTTTTCTCTAATCATGCATCCAATTATTTTGGTTTCTGGCATGTGATATATTTAAGACTACGAGAAAAAAAAATACAAAGTGTGCAAATCTGTCAAATCAGTGGAACTGGATTAGCAAATTAACTTCTTTGGCAAAGAATCAGGGCTCCCCAAGCCCATTAGCCCTCTATCTACCCCATGCAACCTTTACTTTTAGAGCCTGTTATTAAACATCAGGGTTCTGTTTAATAATAAGTTTTAAATGACACTTTTAATTAACTTGGAATTCAATGAACTTACTTCTTGCCAAAAACCCCCTTCTTTTCTATTTCTAAAAGTAATATATGTTGTTGCCAAAAAATTCATGAAAAACTGAATATTATAAGTAATATGAAATCACCCATAATTTCACCACTCAGAGGAAATCATGATTAGCATGTCAGTGTATGGCTTTCCAGACCTTTTTAAAATTTTTATAATGTACGTATTTTATCAGTACTGAGGTTAACTCTGAGCCTTGCAGCACCTGCTAGACAGGCACTCTACTACTTGAGTCAGGTGCCCAGCCCTGTTTTGCTTTATATTTTTTTCAGTTAGGGTCAAATGATTTTGCCCAGGCCTGGCCTCCAAGAGCAATCCTCCTACCTATACCTCTGGAATAGCTGAGATTACAAGGAGATCACCACGCCCAATTTATGTGTTGAGATGGGATCTCAGTAACCTTCTGTCTGGGCTAGCCTCAAACTGCAATACTCGTGACTTCTGCCTCCTGAGTAGCTGGGCTTACAAGCATGCATCACCATACCCAGCAACACATGTGTGTTTTAATAACAAAAATCGAGATAGTGAAACGTCTCTCTCATATGGACACACGTACAATTTATGGCATTTGAGTTTGCAATTCTCATTTTACCTTTTTATCTAGATAATAATGTTCTTCAAGTCAAAATAGGCCACATTTTTTTTTTTTAAATGCAGGATCTCATTGCTTAGCCCAGGCTGATCTAGAGCTCCCTATACAGCTCAGGCCAGCCTCGAGCTCTCGATCCTCCTGCCTCAGTTCCCCTTCTGGGATAACAGGTGCACACCATGACTTTTAACAGATGCTAAGTATGTCAACATAAAGAACACACTGTAAATTAAGTAGTCTCCTACTGAAGGGCACATCAGGTATTACTTGGCCTTTAAGAGTGGTAGATTTGCAAACAAGTAGTTCAATACTTATGCTTTATGACCAAGCAGATTTTTTGTGTTATAAAGATTCTCATAGTTACAGACCAAAAAGCTGTCTTACTGTTGACTTATAAGACAAAGTTAACTTAAAGTTAACTAGCACATGAGTTATTGGCCAGTAGTAAGGGCGCTTGCCTAGCATGTGTGAGGCCCCGGGTTCAACCCCCAGCATCTCAAAAACGAAAGCAAGAACAAAAAAAAAAAAAACCACTTGGTTCAGGAAGGAGATAGTTTGTAAGATAAAATATATTCAAGTTTTTCTGTAAGACTGATTAGCATTATTCACTTTAAACTGTAATAGTGTGATTAAAAAGATAGAGAATCTTGAATAGTCTAACACTATAATTAGAAACCCTTAAGAAAAGGAGTTAGAATCTAAGAAAGATGCTAAGTGTGCTTTGATATCCGTACTAATGTTAGCTGTTAAAGTGATGCATCCTGAGGGATTGCAGGATGGAATGTTCATGCTTGGGGAATGGGTGTAAGATTCCATATCCACAGGGAAGCTCTTTGGATTTACTTCTACTTTGCTCCTTAATTTTTTACATGGTTGTTGTAAAAGGTATGTAACATGTTAGAATAGAAGTTTGGCATTCACAAATAAACAGACAGTAGGTTATGCAGTAAACATTCTGTTATGGGTGAGATGCACAATCAAAAAAAAATAGAGAGGCAAGGTGTGGTGGGTGGCACACACCTGTAATCCCAGTACTGGGGAGGCTCAAACAGGAAGATCATGAGTTTGCCAGTCTGGACTACATAGAGACCCTGCCTCAAAAAAAAAAAAAAAAAAAAAAAAAGAGGAAAAGAAATGGAATAGCTAGAGTTACTATTCTGTTGGTTATGTCATTCTACTTTTCTGTGACTATGACAACTTTGTACTGAAGCAGCAGATGTGAAACTTTACAGAAAGAATTACTAAGAGCAAACCTTTAAAGCTCTTTAGTTTATGGAGCGTGCACATATTCTATCTTCTCTGACACCCACAGCCTCAGTACCGTTACTTGAGCTAGTTTATAAGCACTAGCTGTGTTTACTATTATCATAAATAAATAATAACTGAACTAATGACAAGAGAAAATATTTTAAAGACTTAAAGGTTAATTTACATCACAGGAGGGGCTGGTGGAGTGGCTAAAGTGGTAAAGCCCCTGCCTAGCAAATATGAAGCCCCAAGTTCAAACCCCAGTTCCATCAAAACAATAACAACAAAGAACAATTAAGTCAAAGGGGGCACAAAGCACAGGAGGCACAGTGATTCACACCTGTAATCCCAGCTACGTGGGAAGGAGAGACCAGAGGATCATTATTCCAGCCCAGCTAGGGCAAGGTTCCATCTCAACAGACAAGCTAGGTGTGATGATGGCACATGCATGTGATTCCAAGTAGGTGGGAACCTACTCTGGAGGGAGGCTGCAGGTTAGAGGACAGAGGTCTAAAGTCAGCCCTAGGCAAAAAATCTAAGACCCTAACTGAAAAATAACTAAAGCAAGAGCAAAAAAAGGCAGGGGTGTGGCTCAAGCCATAAAGCACCTGTCTAGTGAGTGCAAAGCCCTGAGTTCAAACTCCAGTATCTCTAAAAAATAAATAAAAACAAAGGAGGCACAAAAAATGTGGCAGAGGAGCTAATCTTTCACACAAAAAAGTTACAAACCACTCAAGGAGAATTACATAAAAAGAGGTACACTACATATGATGACAGTATAGTGAAACCAAACACTGAAAAAGAGGGCGGCCAAGGGAGGGAGTGACTGGAAATATAATGGAGGGGCAAATATGTTCAAGGTATACTAAATGCACATATGGAATCACCACAATGAAATTACTATAAAAAAAATAAAAATATTATTAATGTATGCTAATCCAAAAAAATTTTTAAAAATTATACAAAAAGGTAGTGAATTTAATAATTATCATACAAATTACTATACAGAATTCTGTATGGAGGGTAATTCCACAATAAGTGGATAAGCTGGGTGCCAGTGGCTCACGCCTGTAATCCTACCTATTTGAGAGGCTGAGATCAGGAGGATCCAGGTTCAAGGCCAGCCAGGACAAATAATTTTCAAGACCCTCATCTCCAAAATAACCAGAGCAAAATGGACTGGAGGTGTGGCCAAGTTTGTAGAGTGCTTGCTTTGCAAAAGGAATTATTTTGTACTGGGGTGTGGTTCAAATTATAGAGTGCTTGCCTAGCAAGCACAAGGCCTGAACTCAAAACTCCAGTATCAAAAAAATAAAAAGGAATTTATGTAAACAGAGTATTTCTTATTAAATGGAATTATTTAGTTTTACCAAAAATGCCTGCAAGACATCAGAAATCTGATTTTAGTTCTTCAGAAATAATGTCAATGTGTGCTAATAACCACACTTCAGTGATTTCCTTCACACCTACTATCTGTACATTAATTTGTTCTTTATAATGGAAACCTATAGAAGTTGATTTTTCATTGAATTAAGATATTGATAATGACTGGGCTGCTGGAATTAATAATTCCCATGGTGAAAGGCAGCAGGTAAAATTTAGATTAAAAGTATCAACGTAGTAGAGAAATAATTTGACGGTACCTTTGTTTTAGGTTAAAGAGAGATAATTTATGTACCTGATTTAAGTACCAACAGAGCAGATATTTATAAATGATAAATTAAAACTTAAATTGGCTCAGGAGCAAAAAGCCACAAGTTTTAAAATATAAATAAAACAGCCAACTATGGCTGTAATCCCAGCACTCAGGAAGCTGAGGTGGGTGGATCACTTGAGTCCAGAAGTTAGAGAACAGTCTAGGCCACACAGCAAGACCCTATTCCTCCCCCCGCCCCGGCAAAAAAAGATAAAATATAAATAAATGGTAGCCATTTCCCCCACACTTGCTGAAATTTGTTATTTTTTTTTTAAAGGGGTAAAGAAATTTAGAGATGTTAGTGTTGTAAGAACAAAGAAAGTCTGAGACATAAATTCAGGACTAAATGACAACATACTCTAAAGCTTTTGCTTATTTCAACACTTTGCCAGCTGGTAGAGGAAGATTTAATTTGAACATTACCTTTGGAGGAGAGGGTGAATTTGATGACTGTCCTTGGTGGTTCCCTGCGTGCTGGGTTAGCCCATTAGGATCTGAAGACTGTGCTGAGGGAAGCTGGGTACTGGTGGCAGGTTGATGAGATGAGTCTACTTTGGGGCTCTTATTTGACCCATCCAATCTGCTACTTCTCTCTATAGCAATCAAGTCACGAATCTTTTGCAGCTGCTCCACTGAAGCTTTTTTAGGAAAGATAAGATGTGTTTCTCCCTGGAATTAAAAAAATTGGGAGAATTTTTAACCTCTGCTTTATACTGACAGTCATGCTTACATATACAATAAAGTTAATACTATTGAATACACTACATTTTAACATACTGTTTTTATAAAAATTAATAAAATGTCTGTTGGCATATAATGCTTAGGATATTTAATGCAGTTCAAAGGACATTCAGAAAAATATTTGTTTTGGAATAGAGCATAAGAGGTGCAAAACACACATTTTTATCTTCTCTGCAATAATCTACTATTATTTTCTATGAAATTCCGTATGAAATAATTATACTAAAGACACAATTGGGGTCATTAAGATCAGCAAGAAGTTATGCAATGCATAGAATAACTATAACTGACAATTATTTGAATATTAAAAGCTAGTAGAGAGAATCCTGAATGTTCCCAACACAAGGAAATAATCCATGTCTGAAGTGCTGGTAAAATCGATTTCCTTAATCTAATCATTACATGCTGCATACATGTATTGCATAAACATTGCTAAAAAGTTATGTAACTACTTATAAACCCAAGTTTTTAAAGAGCAGCTACATGATTAGATGTCTGAGTATGGGGTTCACCAATTTTTCCAAAATATCAAAAAGCATACCCTGATAGCCAATTTAAAACTATGGGTTTTTTTTAATCAGAGCTTTGCATATGCTAGGCAAGCTGTCTACTACCAAGCTACAATCCTCAGCCACAAATTATGGATTATTAACAGTAATAGAAAGATGGTCCAAATAAAACAAAACATTTGTTTAGATGCATTTAATGAATATTCACTGTAGATAAAATAAACATTGCAACAAAACTCAAAACATAAAATAGTATATTACAAAACAAGAAAACAGGTAAAATTAAAATATATTCATTCAAATTTCAAAGTTTTGAGAAGAAGTGCTAGAGCAATAGTTCTGTCAACTGCAAATGAGATAAAAAGCTGCTATAACATGAAGTAAATATGTGTACACCAGGAGCATCTGAAATAGATTCCACAACTGAGAATGACCTACAGGAATCAAATGATCAAGACAATACTCAATAACAACATGAAAATTGATTTCATATTAATTCTTTTTCAAAAGCTAGAAGAGACCAGCAAACTCCATGTACTATCCATATCAGCTGTTAAGAAAAGACTACCACCAGTTGGGTGTGGTGGCACCCACCTATAATCCGATCTGCTGGGGAGACAAAAGCAGGAGAATCCTCAGTTTAAGGTCTGAGTAGTTAGTGAGACCCCCTATCTCAAAAACAAAAAGAACAGGACTAGAAGTGTAACTCAAGTGCTAGGCCCTGGGTGCACTCCCAAGTATTGACAAAAAAAAAAAGACTGCTACCATTTATCTCATGTATGTGTTCTAGTACTGTGCTGAGCATTCATACACATTATCTCAAAAGTAATTCGCACAACTACCCTGAAAGGTATGCATTAGGTTTATCCTCATATTTTACATGAAAATATGAAGACTCAGAGATGTTATGATAGCCTACCTGATGCTACAGAATAATTCAAATTACATGAACTCAGGCCAGGCATGGGAGCTCATGCCTGTAATCCCACCTACATGGGAGGTGGAGATTTGGAGGCAGAGATTAGGAAGACTGAGGTTAGATGTCAGCCCAGACAAAAAGTCAGCAAGACTTCATCTCAACCAATTAAAAAAACTAGACACAGTGGTGTGTCCCCATAATCCCAGCTATGCAGGAGGCATAAGCAGGAGGATGGCAGTCCAGGCTAGCCCAAGCAGAAAGCACCTGCAAAAATAACTAAAGCAAAAAGTGCTGGGGGTGTGGTTCAGGTGGTAGAGTGCCTGCCTAACAAGTAAAAGCTGAGTTCAAAAGCCAAGGGGAAAAAAAGACATGACCTCAGTTGTTTTGCTATAAATGACTCCATCTTAGACCAAACAGAGACCAACACACAAGACTGCACAATTAGTTGAAAGAAATAAGCAAACCGAACATCATTATAACTGTGATGATTACATATATAACTGACACAACTTTTATAAAGGAAGTGTAGAAGAGTGATTAACAGAGACTGAGAAGGAGGAGAGGGGCATAAGAAGAGCATGACTGATGGATACCATGTTATAATTAAAAGATGTCTGGTGTTCTTTGTAGTAGTAGGGTGATGATAGTTACAATAATGTGCTGTTATATCTCAAAAAGATCTTGAATGCACTCACTATAAAGAAATGATAGTACAAGGTGACTGACATGCCAATTACCCTGATTTGATCATTGCCCAATGTAATATATCATGACATCAGAGTACCTCATAAAAATGTACAAATATGTGTCAATCAAAACACCAAATTAATAACATTTTAAAATAGAAAAAAGAAAAGTTATTATCTATGATGAGGCCTGGGAAGAGAAATCAGACATCTAATTGCCCACCATTAGTGGAGCAGCACTGAGAAAGGCTGACAGGTTGTAAGAGGAACTAATGGAGTTGAAACTGAACTCTACTCCCAAAAAGAAATTTGCTGTGCTTTTGAGTTGACCTATCAGAGACAGTATGACAGGCATCTAGAATTAGCTCTCAGTCCACAGCGCAAAGATGCAGCTTGTGCCTTGCTCCCTTCCCTTTCATCTTTTCACCACCAGTCCTAAAAGAACATAACAATTACGGCCAGAATGTCTGTACCAAAAAGTTTCATCAATAGCAACATATTCATAAAAGGACAAAATTACAGATTTGACACACTAGATCCAAGAACACTTTAAGAAATTACTGAATTCCAGGATTTAACACATCTGTTTCTCAAAACATTTTTGCTGAGGCAATTCTCACTGCAGGACGTTTAGCAAACCTGGCCAGTGATATCTTTCAGACACCAAACAACCCAACTGCCTCACAAGTTCTCCATGCCCTCTTCTCACAGGTGTGAGGAAGAAAGTGCAGATGGAGGGCATGTGCATGGCCCTGACTCAGAACCAATCCACTAAGTTAAACTGCAGGGTCACATATCCACTTGGATCCCTGGCTTCCTCAACCTCACTCTCTCATCATTTCGTTAAAAAACTGTAGCCTCAGAGACAAGGGGGCTTATAAGTGTCCAGGAATTTAATACACAGTTGTAAGCTTCAGGACAGATTTTAGAGCCATGCATCGACTCAAAAGCCCACTGAATTTCTTTTTTGATAGTAGAGTTCAGTTTCAGCTCCATTAGTTTCTCCTACAACTTAGTGACACTGACAAAAATTTACTTCAGATATGTCCTCAGGTGCAAAGTTAAAAAACAGCTGGAAAATTTAAATATAATTTGGTTTTATCAAAACATGCTAATGCCAGGCCCAGTAGCTCATGTATACAATCCCAGCTCCTTGGGAAGTAAAGATCCATGAGGATCATGGTTTGAGGCCATGTTGGGTAAAAAGTTAGCAATACCTTTATCTCAATAATTTCAATGCCTGCCATTCCAGGTATGCAGGAAGGATAAATAGGAGGATCATGGTAAGAGGCCAGGCCAGGCAAAAAAATGAGTCTCTATCTGAAAAAAATAACTAACGCAAAAGGTTGGGGGTGTGGCTCAAGTAGTATAGTACCTGCCTAGCAAGTACAAGGTGCTGAGTTCAATCCATAGTACTGACAAAAAAAAGAAAAAAAATTCTAAAATTGTGACTGTTTGTGTCAAATACTACTCCAAGTCTCAGAGTGGCTTGTTATGTGGCACTTTAGTGAACAACCATCCAGTTTGCCTGAGACTGAGGGATTTTCTGGGACACCGAAAACTAGGGGAGAGTTGGTTACTCTACCTGGCACTCAACTATTCGATGAATAAAAGACAAAATATAATTTGAATCTATGGCACTTCAAAAACCAGTACTGTCTCCACTTGTCAATTACCCAGTTTTCTAGTCCAATTTGAGCTTCAAAAATCTGCATTTCCTCAAACAAAATCAACAATGCTGTAATTTCTCTCCCTACAGGTTTCAAATTCTCAATGTTTAGATGCCTGTGTATAATCTATGGTCAGATGACACCGTAACTTATATCCTAAGCTTGACCTCTTCATCTGAACTATAGGCTCATTTATTCAACTGCCTGATTAATCTTTACTTGACTAGTATTTAACAACAAAGTAGTTATAATTGTCCAAAAGGTAACAGTGGTTTCTCCCCTGAAACCTGCTACTCTCCAAGATATCTCCATCTAAATCAACGGTAGCCCACTCCCTTAAGTTTCTCAAAGCAAAACCTAGACATTCCTGATTCCTTCATGTCCCAAGATCCATCTCATCAACAAGATCTGTTGTTGAGAAATTCTGGACTCAGCTACTTCTTTCCCTTTCCACTGTGATCATTTCTTTCATTTCTTAATTCAGCGTGTCTCCTGGCTGCCTAATGTCAGTGTGTCTGTGATGCTCTATTACTTTTACAGGAGCTAGAACACAAGGAAACAGACAGACAAAAAAGCCCTGCCCTCAAGAATCATACAGAACTGCTACCATCTCTGATTTAGACTAATAAGCCACTGGTCTCCCTGCCACACTCCTTGCCCCAATCCCAGAACACTCAGAACACTCTCTTTACAGCAGCTATAGTACTCTTTGGAAATCCTCTTCCCTGCTTAAATTTTCTAAAATGTCTTCCAATCTCACTTAGAATAAAGTCAGTCTTTACCATAGTCTTCAAAAACCCCATATGTCTTGGTATCTGTCTCTACAGCTATTCTCTGCATCAGAGCTAGAACTCCTTTGCACATGTCAAACTTTCTGCCCAAAGTTGCAGATATCTGAGCTATTTCTTGTCACTCAGGTTCTGGCTCTATCTCCTCAAAGGCTTTCCTTGGCTACTCACTGTTATGCAGCTGCCTGCCACTGTAGTTGTTTTTATTGCATTACCCTGTCTTACTATTTTCTTTGCACTGGTTTTTGCTTTTCTGTCTACCATCTAACACATTAGAATACAAGCTCCATCTGAGATGGGATTCTACTGGCTTACTTCATTACTGTATCTTCAGGGTTTATAATGGGAATCTGGGATGGGAAGCTCAGCATCTCTTTTCAACAATATTTACAACTGCCACTTCATCACTCAGCCTGCCATTGACAACTGAGCCTCCACAATCTTATTCAATTTCGTTCAATATTCTAAAACCCAGAAATAGTTTGGGATATAAACATAAGGAAAATTCACAATCTTTTTTTTCCTTAGGACAAAATTCCATTATGTTGCCCAGGCTGGCCCTGAACTTGTGATCCTCTTGCCTGAGCCTTCCATGTAGCTGGAACTATAGGCACACACACCATGCCTGGCAATTTTGGTAATTATTTTCATTGTGTTATAAAAGTACCCTCTGCCACAAGATCCCAGAAGACAGAAACACCAAACTCTTCTTCCAAAATAAAATAAAACATTGAGACTACTGTCACAGAAGAAAACCCTTCTGTGTGCCAACTGAACTCAGCTTTTCTATGTTTTACCTCAGATCCCTTCATTTCTTACCGGAGACAGGTGGGGAAGCATTGTTAGTGTTCATGTACACTCACAAATTGGGTTTTTGCTAAGACTCTAGAGGACCACATTTGATCCTTAAGATGCATGTTTGATCCTTCATATCTAAAGAACTGAGACTTGTAAGAATTTCTCTGTAGACACTGTTATATTTCATTCTGAAATACTCTAACTTTTAAATGTCTAAGAGGTAAAAATATAACTAGTCCTACAGATAGCCAAAATGATCAATTAATGAAAAAAGGCTCTTATTCCAACAATTATTTACCAACACTATGACTGCCTTACATATAAAGAGGAGAGAGGAAATCCTTACAAATACTTACCTCTTCAAAGCCCATTTCAAATAAACATTCAACAGCTCCTCTGACAGGCAAGAGTCTAGTAGAAAAAGCTGTGTTTCCAATACGGATAGATCTGTATTTTTCATCATTAGGGTTCCTGATAGAAAACAAAAGCTGAATTATACACACACACATATATATAATACATTTATTTGTATAAAATTTGTATCTTTCAATGTTTTTGCATCCCCTTTCACATCTTATATTGGCTATATTCATATATGCTAGTATAATCTCTCAACTTCTTTTTTTTTCTTTTGTGGTACTAGAGTTTGAACTCATGGCCTACACCTTGAGCCACTCCACCAGTCCTTTTTTGTGATGGGTTTTTTCGAGACAGGGTCTCATGAACTATTTTTACCAGCTGGGTTTAAATTGCGATCCTCCTGCTCTCTGCCTCATGAGTAGCTAAAATTACAGGCGTGAACTACAGGCACCTGGCTTTCTTCTTTTTACTAGTGTATATTAGTTGTGCAATGGAGTTTTATTGTGATATTTGCATATATGTATATAATGTACTTTGATCAAATTCATCCCCTCTATTAACTTCTTACCCTCCTACCCTTTTAAAAACAACTTTTAACAAGTATCATTATTCTGTTTTCATACATGTCAATGAAATACCTCAATCATATTCATCCCCCCTTCACCCGCTCCTTTCACTGCCCCTTGATTCACATATCCAATTAGTTCCAACTCACACTCCTGTCACTCATTTTGTGTTTTAGGTCTGGAATCCACATGAGAAAGAATCAACATGCAATATGTGTCTTTCTTACTTTAAAAAGAAAAGGGGAGCAGTCTGGAAAATAGTCCAGTTTTTTGATTCTTACATTGGGCACAATCTCCCCATCTAACTTACAGATAGTGTTAATGCTGCCACAAGGAAATTCCATGCTGTTGGAATAGATACCTTTTTGACTCTCTTAAGTTTCTAAAAGAAGAGAGTCCATGTAAGCTCCAGACAGGGCAGAAAATTTGTTCTGTTGGATCCCCACAATCTAAAATGGTGCCTGGTACAAAGATGATAGTTAATACGTATTTGTGAAATTAAAGATTTATACATTTAGTTTCACTTATAGAAGCTAAAAAGCTTTACTTCCAACAAACATGAACCTAGGTGTAAAACTTATCAGTCGCTTGTTTTTCATCTTTCCTAGACCAATGATTGTTTTTACTGTTAAGGTCACAAGTTCTAAACAGTGCTGTTCAAAATGTCGAAGATTGGTGCTAATCTACAAACTCTTTGCTACCATTCCATGAGAAATGCAAAAATTCAGTGTCCTGTAATTTTTACAGCAATTTTCATAAATCTACAAAGGATTTGAAATTAAAAATAACTTGAAAATCAAAGATAGATGAGAAACACTATGAAAAATATATCCTCTAGTCTTTAACTTGGTGTATGAGATCAGGACTTCTTAATCTTGACATTACAGACGTTTGGTGCCAATGCTGAGGGGGATGTGGTTTCCATTGTACACTGTGTCATAAGTGTGCCTCTCTTTCTTACCATTCAACACTAAAGTATAAAATAATCCTCCATTTATCAAAGCTAATTTCTTTCTTTCCCTCCTCTCTCTCAAGGATCTTGTTATCTAGCCCAGACAACCTCATGATCTTACTGCCTCAGCCTTACCAGTGGTTAGGATTACAGGCATGTTCCACCATATCCCACATCCCAAATCCTATCTTTTTCTTATTAAATATAGTGAGCAGACAGACTGGAAGGGTCATAAGCATTAATCTAACGCCGAAAGTCTGTCCCTGAAATCTTCAAAGACTTGGAGAATTTGGCAGGAGAGCCATCAAACCCATTACATCCTACTTTTGCCCTTGGAAAAGTGCTATACAAACATCTTGAATTCTTAACTTTTCAGCACCATCTCAGAATGTCCACCGCTATTGAACTCATTACCCCAGTCTTCATCCTGGAGTGTCTAAGGTACCCTCCTAAGGTTCACCTTGATTTTTTTCTTAAATTTTTTCAACTAACTTAATTTTCTCTGCAGATTTTTCTCAGTTTTTTAGAGCAATTCATTAACTACTTTCTGCAGCTTGTAACGTTTTTAACAAGGTGCAATTACTTTGCACCTATGCTTGGGACATTTTTTGGTAGGTGTTTTTTAATGATGTTGAACAGAATGAGGTACTGAAAGGGCCTGTCACTCTGAATACTGTGATGGCTAATCTTGTCAACTTGAATGCTTAGATTAGTGCTGCATACCTCTTGGGCTGTCTGTGATAGGGTTTCCAGAGACTATTAGATGTGAAGGCTTTAAACTTCACATTAATCAATGGATTCATAATAGGATGGCATTATTGGGAGGTAGTAAAAGGTAGGAGGTAGATCCTACCTGGAGAAGTAAGTCACTGGGAGTGTGCCTTTAGGGCTATGCCTTGCCCTGGCCCTTTTCTATATTCCTCCTCTCTGCTTCCTGTCTGGTACGAAGTGAATAGCTCTCTTCTGTCACTGACATGATGTTCTGCCCAAGTGCTTGGGACCAAGGAAACTACGGAGTGAACCCTCCAAAACTGTGAGCCAAAATAAGTCCTTTTTAAAATTGTTTGTCACATATTTGGTCACTACAACAAAAGTAACTAACCTAAATACATTTTGGTGTCTTCCTAATTGTCTTACTCCCTCCCATAGTTATCTACCCAATTACTTAACTTATGGAGATATAATCTTTGCTTTTATAAATGAGTGGTAAGAAAAAGTCATACTTTTCATTATAAAAGTCACAATCTAGCAAGGCATCAGTGGCTCATGCCTAGGTACTTGGGAGCCTGCGATTGGAAAGACAGCGGTTCAAGGCCATCCCCCACAAAAAATTAGTGAGGCCTTGTCTCAACCAACAGCTGTAGGCAGCGGCATATATCTGTCATCGCAAGCTACCTCAGGAAGCTGAGACTGGGAGAATCACAGTTCCAGGTCAGCACAGGCAAAAAAATTTGTGAGACCTCATCTGAATGGAAAAAAGCTGGGCATGGTGGTATACACTTGTCATCCTAGTGACGGCGGGAAGCTTAAAATTGGAGGATCACAGTTCACACTGGCTTGGGCAAAAAGCAAAACCTAAGGCCAAAATAACCAGAGCAAAAAGGGCTAGAAGCATGGCAATACAGCACCCACCTATCTCATAAGCAGGAAGCCCTAAGTTCCAATTCCAGTACCACCAAAAAAAGGTCACACTCTACCATCTAAGATTGTAAGGCATGTTAACAATAGGCAGTAACAGCAGTATCTCAGAAAAAAAAAATCCTAAATTCTTATCTCTATTTCAGAAATGCTGCAAATTTATCTGATCATTTGCTAGACCTCTTCCTCTTTAGAATGCATAATCCCAACAGGGTTCATATAAATGAAAACTCAACACATGAGTGCATCCTATAGTCTGATTTTATCACTAATCACAAAAAGCTGGTTTGTAGATCATTTTAAAACTTTGTCTAATCCTTAAAAAAACCTGTCATTCTGTGATACACTTACATTTTTCAAAAATATTTATCTGCCTAAAGAACAATGCTGGAGCTGGGTACTGGTAGCTCACGTCTATGATCCTAGCTATTTGGGAGGCTGAGATTAGGAAGATAGAGATTCAAAGCCAGTCTGGGCAAATAGTTCACAAGACCCCCATCTCCAAAATAACCAGAGCAAAATGGACTAGAGGTATGGTTCAAGTAGTACTCAGTTCAAAACCCCAGTCCCACCTCCCATATACACACAACCGTCTCCCCCCGCCCCCGCCCACCCCCCCCACCCCCAACACAATGTTAGAACCATATCTGGCTCCAACTCTACCATTCTCTGTGCTGACAAACCAAAGCTGTACACCTAATTTACTTTAACATGAACAACAGCAAAGACAGATAACAGCAGCAGCTATGTATGTGCCAGGTCCTTTCTGTTCCTTTTCTGCTGTTACTTCTGTTTTGCAGTAATCCTACAATGTGTTTTTCTTCCCTTTTATAAATGAGGAAACTAAAACCCAGAAAATGTAATGAATTGTCTAAGATCAGACTCATAGAAAATAGCTGATTAGAATTTATACTCACTGATCTGATTATAAATCTCATGTAGTCTCTACCACATAAACTCATCAATCCTAAATTTACTACTCATGGTCAGTTTCTCCAGATATCTGTAGTAACCTCGATTAAAAACTGAAGTTCTACTCCTCCTTGCACTCAATCATTGAGAGCTATTAATCCCTCCCTGTATTATTTCTTTCTCTATTCCATCTTCATTTATAATTATGACTTCACAATAGTTCAGAACTGGAATCAATACCTTGTATCTTTTTATGCCACTATTCTACATGAAATATTCATTAATGCTTCTCTTTGATTCCAGAAACAATAAGTGCTTTTTTTTTCCCTCCCACCTATCATGTGTCATGTCAGACATGTTCTTTGCTACTTCATCAACTGGTCCCACTTTATCAAACCACTATTCTTGGGCAAAGGATTTTTTTTTTTTTTGGTAGTACTGGGGTTTGAACTCAGGGCCTCATGCTTGTTAGGCAAGTGCTCTACTACTTGAGCCATTCCACTAGCTTCAAACCACTAATTCTTGAGGGTGTCTGATGTCAGGTCACCAGTGATTTCCTCACCTAAGTGTGTAAGTGCTTAATAACTGTCTTGGAATTATGAGGTTTTATGCTGTATCTGCTTTCCATACATGCCTTTCTCCCAAAGAAACTTATGTTCTTTGAAGAAAGAAACCATTTTCTATTCTTGACTCTTCTGAATCACAACCAGTGCAGATGTAACCAATAGTCATATGCAGTTTGCAAAATAAATTAGTGGAAAATCAAATATATATTTTAAAGAATAAATGGACAAATTAGCTGAGGAATCTATGTGTAATGCCAGTGAAAGTACAGATTTTTGAGAACAGTATTACTGAGGACAGCTCATCTTCATCAGGTGAATGGCATCTTTTGCATGCAAATTTGTCTATATTTCATTCTGTAATTTAGCGAGATCTGTGACTGTTAGTTGGGGACACGATAAACATCATCCAAAACACAAATTTAAAACTTAACCAAATTATTTTCACTTGTGATTAAGCATATAGAGCAACAAGTATCACTGCTCCAAAAATAAAAAATCTACTATTGAAATTCTCAGTTCAACACCATAAAAAGAAAATGTCAGACTGTGAGGCAGGAGTAACAGGTATCAAGACAATAATGCCTTAAAAAGTGCCTTACCTCTAAGGCTAGTGGATTTCCCAAAACAGCAAAAGGAACAGTAAACTTTGATTTTACCTCCTCTCATAAATTAGACATGCACATCTGTAATGTTGTGTGGGAACTCTGGAGCACGTTTTGTTAAGAGGTTATGAGGTCAATAGATTTTCTGGTCACGGAAAAAAGGATAGTGTTGACCCCACGTACACCTCCCCCCGCAAAGCCTGAAAGAATTTGAGTATGAGGACAGAGACAGTATTACTGAAGACAAACGGTAAAGGGCAGTTTGAAAACTCCCATTATATGAGTTCCAAACTCCTAATGTCCCTTTTAGATTAAAACTCTCAAGGTCAGAAACATAAGTGGTAGTACAGACATGAACTGAGAGCATACCAAGTTTCTTTCAGAACTTTAACAGACATTAATGATGATTATGATGCCAAAAGCCATTATTTGCATGTACAGCTTGTCCTACCTCAAAACACTTTGATCTCAGCGTTTTCGGTTTCACTGAACTGAACGCAGAAGTGAGTCCTTTACTCAGCCTTCTCCTCCGTTTTAAGAACAGTGGGGGTGTTAAAGAGCCCTGTGGAGCTCCGCTGGGAACTCCCAGCTGGTGAGTCCTGGAGGACCCAGCCTGAGTTTTGCAGTCGGTATGTGTCCTGTACCCTGAGAGTTGTGAGCGCCCTCAAGGTAGCGAGGTGAGGTGTCACAGAGGAGGAAGGTGATCACCACCTCACGCAGGTCACAATTATGTAGCTGTGAAGAGACCACATGCTTCAGCTCTCGTAGCATCTGGCACACAATAAAGGGCTCACTCAGTATGTCCTCGCTACCACTTTAAAAATCAGTAATGTTGCCTAAGTGAGCAATTACTGCCACGACTTAAAAACTTCCAACTATTTCTAAAAACTGTATTACATGAAATCTACAGCCTTGAAGCTGAGAATTCCTTTGTGAACTTCTGGTCACACCAGGGGCAGAAGGGGAAAAAAAAGAATTTGGGTAATGATGGTGATCTGACGAGGCACCTGCTTTAAAGCACCCTACGTTTTCTTCATTTCCATCCCACTTCCCCTCTGAAGAGGTGCGGCCGGAACTGATTCAACATGCCCCAATTTGAGCTGCACACAGTACTTCTACTCACAGGAGAAGGAAACCCCATGACTCAGTCCATGGGGTTCTCACGTACAAGGGCCATTTACAATCCAGATCTTAATGCAAAAATTTTAACTTTAAGTTAGGATAGTCAACGTTTTCATCAATACAAATGGGCATAAAGAGGCCATAAAAACTTGAGACGCACATACACCTACTATACGTTTTCGGCTATAGGATTCGGGCGTTCACAAAACGGGACGCCACCCGTCAGGGCAGACCCTCTGACAGCCACCCGGCCGGGGAAAACCACGCGCGGAGGAAGCGCAGGTGCCGCCCCTGCCCCGACGTTTCAGAGAGGCGGGGCCGCCCCCTCCCCGCCCCAGATCCCGGACATCCCGCGGTCGGGTGCACAGTCCCCGCGGCCGACTTCCGCCCCGCGGGTCCCGAGGCTCCAGGTGCTGCCCCTCCCCGCCTGGCTTCCCTCCCGGGCCGGGCAAACCGGGCCACACAGCCGCCACGCCCGCCCGCTCGCCGGCCCGCACCTTAGGATGTTGTCAGCGTAGGTGAGCAGCAGCTTGGAGGCTTCCAGAAAGGTCTCCGGTGTGTTCTGGCAGAGCTCCGCCACCGCTGGGGAGGCCGAGCCAGACGAGCCGCCCAGCGCCGCCGCCGCCATGCCTAAGCGCCCGCGGCCGCCGCTGCCCCTGGCGCGCCGCGTCCCGCACTGAGCAGGCGCTTCAGCGTGCCGCGGCCTCCGCAGCGGCCGGGGGGCGGGGACTCGGGGGCGGGGCTTAGTCATGGAGGGGCGGGGCTAATGTGAGAGGGGGCAGGGCTCGGCCGGGAGAGAGCACTGCGGGCAGGAGCTGCAGTACTGGGACCCCTCAGGGCCTGCCCAACTGACCACCTAAACCTCCTTCCCCTCCCCACAAATAGGACAGTTTTACAGCTTGCTCTCTGCAGCTGTCCTAAGTAAATGCGAAGTTGCGCAAGAAAGACCCCAGAAGGAAGGAGCAACAAATGTTCAAAAACAAAGCCGTGGCTGTAAACCCTGCTGGGTTGCTGTTGCATGGATTCTTTTCAGAATTCGATGATTCCTCTGTAAAGAAGCGTTTCTTAAGTTGTGTGTTACAACGTGTTAACGGGTTGTGGACTCAGTTTACCGTGTGGTGACCTACATAAAACACACAATAATAACAGAATAAAATGGGGGAGGAAGAAAGGAATAAAAGTTTGCATTCCACATACTTGGGATAAGTATTGTGTATTTTGCAGGTATATGTTTAGCAGGTATGGTATTTGATCAAAAACCCTTATTCTTAGAAAATAACTTCCTAACCTCTTTAATCCAGCCCTCTGCCTTTTGGTGAGAGTAAAATATATTTTACCAATGGCTTCCTTTTGGTGCAGAAATTCCTTTCAATAAATATTTTTCTTGACCTATGTTATTTGTGCAACCTCTTTAAATATTCTTGATATGCCATCTTGTTTTTAATATTTGAAAATTTCTTCCAACATCTCTGAGCAATCACTTCACTTACCACTCATCTGCCAAATACAAGTTTTTAGTAATTAGGTTTTTGGACCAACTTCAAGCAGATTATGTTCAACAGATAGTGTGTAAGTAGCACTGTAACCAAATTTTCAAATTACCACAAAGGTAATTTTTTTCTTCTGGCTCACATAACTGGTTAATAACGACTCAGGGACACTAGACTGTGGCTTTAGTATCCTTCCATCCCTTAGGACTGAGGTCAACTGGAAAAGGCCAGATAGTAAACGTTTTAGGCTTTATGGGAAAAAGTTCTTGACTACGAGCTCTTTGGATAGCACTATTTTGGATAGGGAATTCATTGTAATAAGGTACTTTGTCTCACTGTTTTCTCTGCTTCTTTCACTTAAGAGTTTCCTTTAGAAAAGTTAAATATCTTAAGCTACCCTTAGTCTCTTTATGCCCATGACTGTGTCTGTGAAAGTATGATTTAGCCTTTAATCAGTCTTGAACTTCCTATTCTTTTTGTTGTTGTTGTTACAATATAATGATTTTTTCCAAGATTCCAGCTCTATTAAGTAACCATCTTCAGAGTTGAGACATGGTGGCACTATTACTAAATGGAATAGAAAAAGAAATAGCCCACTAAATTTTCTCCAGGACCAGTTTGGTCATTAAAAAAAAGAAACGCGAACTTTAGAGCTATAAATGTAGCTCAAGCAGAAGAGTGCCTGCCTTACAAGTGGGAAGCCCTAAGTTCAAAACCCAGTACTGCCAAAAAAAAAACAAAAAAGAAAAAGAAAATGTAGATCTTAATAATGACCATCAGAAAGATGAAGCCACTCAGGAACTGTGTAGTGATCGGCTATTGTGTGGTTGTAGCGAGTGATTAACCAACATTCAGTGCCTGCTATATGCAGTCTGAGGCAAACAGCATAGAGGCTTTTTAATATAACAGCGAAGACAAAAACTAATGATTATAATGTATACACAGCTAGCCCTTCTGCTGGCAAAAGAAAAATTATTGTAAAAAGAAAAAAAATCATTTGGTAAGAAAATACTAAAAAAATACATGTATATTAGCTATGGTAAGGGTGTAAGGGTATGTGTTTATTCATTCATTTCATAATTCACTTATTCCTTATTCACCTAGTATCTATGAAGTGACTACTAACTGCCAAGCACTATGAGCAATGAAGGATGTAAACATGGTCCCCACTTTCATGGAAATCGTATGAGTTTGGGGTAGCCACATCAGCATCACCAGGAAAGTTGCCAGAAAATATTCCAAAGCCTCATTTTTTCAAAGGTGGAGCCAAACAATTTCTGTAGTAACAGGCCTTTTAGGTGATTTCAATGCACAGTAAAGTTTGAGAAGCACTCTTTTAGAAGAAGGAAAACATCTTGGAGGTGGGAGAATTTGACCAGAATCCTTAAATGAGAGGTTAACGAGGTAAGGAAGGGGAAGGCTTCCCAGTTGTGAGAGAACCCTCAGCAATCACAAGCAATATCCCAGCAATGTTTCCTTCTCAAGAAGCCCTGCATCTTTCCTCCTTGTCACTGCCTTAGTTCATGGTCTCATAACCTTTTATCCATTCTTAATTTTGTTCCCTATATCTATTTCCATACCCTTCCAATCTACTCCATATGCTGTTGCATTTGTGATCTTTCGATCACAAATCACATGCATCTGATATGTTACTCTCCTGGTAAAAAGTTTTCTATGGTCCCTCTGCCCATATTCTAGTCAAATGGTGTTAGGAACCAAGGCTTAATGTATGAAATGGATTTGTTCAAGACCAAAAGAAGTTAGGGGAGACCCTATGAATGAATTTACCATGCCCTTTAAAGGGAATTTAAAGATTCGATAAAAGAGTGATATGATGTCTGGCCTATAGGATCAAATCTAAAGACCTCAGCATGATACCCAAGGCTTTTGTGATCTGGCCCCTGCCTTGCTCTCATGCTTTTACTGTTGCTTTGCCTCACACCTCAAATTTGACCTTGGTCATACTGAACAGCTTGGAGAAATGTTTTTTTTTTTTTTGCTGGCACTGGGGTTTGAACTCAGGGTGTCACGCTTGCTAGGCAGGTGCTCTTTCTGCTTGACCCACTCCACCATCCCTTTTTTGTGTTGGGTATTTTGAAGACAGGGTCTCACAAACTATTTGCCTAGGGCTGGCCTTGAACTATGACCCTCCTGATCTCTGCCTCCTGAGTAGCTAGGATTATAGACGTAAGCCATTTCTCATTCTAAGATGCAGTTCAAGAATTTCTTCTTTGAAGCCTTTCCTGACTTTGACCTCACTGTCCCCTCTGTGTTATGGTAGTTACTAATTCTATTCTATTTTACTATCATAGCACCTGTTTCAGTAGTTTGCACATATTTGTTTCCATGGCTGTCTCTCTACGGATTCTTTTGTATTCCACCTTCTAGCAGTAAGGTAGGAGAAAAAGGAAAATTTGTTGAAAATACAAGAAAAGGGAATAGAGATGAAAAAAGTTAGGTTCAATCAAGAAATAATAATCCTGGGGTGTAACTCAGTGGTAAAACACTTGCCTAGCATGCTCAAAGCCCTGGGGTTGATACCCCAGCATCCAAAACCAAAAAGTGAGAGGATCAACTTTCTGGATAAAGCATATTCAATAAAAAATCAGAGCTATATTTGGAATGATACTTTTGAATCAGATTACAAAAAATTTAAGGTAAACTTCAGAGACCTTAACAGGAGAATATGATAGGTAAAGATTTGTTGATTTGGGTGCAAGAAAACACTATGGCATTATAGAAAAAAATATGGTATTAACACATATACAGCTATTAAGATATACAATTTCCCACCACTTTCCAGATGAAAGTAAAAATGATCAGAGATAGAAATAAAAATGATGGATCTTTTTACCTTTTACAAGATTTTAATTGATTTATCACTGCTTATTCAAAGAGATTTAAAAAAATTGTATTACAAAAGAAAAACAAGAGCACACTAAAACTTTCATATGAGTTAAGCTTCAAAAAAAATATTGGAGGTCTTTTCATATTATTTAAAAGTACAGTGCAACAATGAAAAAAGAGCAAGTTTGGGTACTTCTTACCTATCAACTTTGAGTTTTATGTAACTACATGTTTAATTCTTGAAGTAACACTATTTTCATGAATGAGGGTCATAATAAGAAGTGGATAGGCCTGAGATCAATGATGGCTCATGGCCAAAGTACGCTATTTAGACACTCACTTAAATCCAGAAGTAACCAAGAAAAAGCTAAGCTTGACCCAAATTCTTTTCTACAGGTTGCAAAAGGGGGAAAGTACTGTACTTGGAAACAATGGCTTCAAGTGGATCAGTCAAAAGTAAACATAAATATGTCTAGAATGTTCAGATACAGACTGTATGTATGCTCAACCCTTTATCTAAAAATGAATACTACCTTGCGGACTTCTTGCTTTTTTATATTTCCATGTTGTATTTTCCCTGTGCAGATTCACAGCCAGCTGTGAGCACATAAACTTAATGAATACTCATGCATTTGTGAATGTCTCTATTCTGGTTTCCATTCCTGTTAAGACATTGGGTGTGGTATTTTGCCCACAGACCCAGGAAGCAGCAACAATTTTTAAGAGTAAAAAGTTTTATTATAAAATCACTATTTGTTTACTTAAAAATACTCAGAAAAAAGGGAGAGCATCACAATCATTGTACGTCTTTACAGACCTTTAAAAATTATTGTATTGTTTTATAACTTACATCTCCTAACAAAGTCATTATCTTTGCGCATTAATAAATATTCACCTATAAAATTATTATAAATAGCTGCATGCCGTTTGGATATAGCATAAATTACTCAACCAACTTCCTGATGTTTGGCATTTAGGTTAGTTCCATTATTTTGCATGAGTATAACTGTGTGAAGCACTGTAGTAAATCTTCGGCTGAGGACTTTCCTCTTTTGGGATTTCAGTGGAAGTCATTGGTGTTCCTTCTATCCTCGGGAACACTGCCACTATCATCGCCCTCGAAAGACCTTGGCGATGGGCGACGGTGCTACCACACCCGTGCTCGAGAGTGCGCGGGTCAGTGAAGTCCCCGAGAACAGTCGCTACAACAGTTGGCCAAACCCGGGCCACCTGGGGCCGTTCCAACTCCGACAAGGGGACGCGGCACAAGGTCAGCCCACTGAAGCACGCTCCGGCACGACGCGTGCGTGCGTGCGTGCGGCTGTACGTGCGTGCGGCTGCGAGTGCGCACGCGCACGCCGGCGTCAGCGCGCAGGACTGTGGTCGAGGGGCAGGCGCCAACCCGGTTACAGGTATCAGCTGCCTAGTCCTCTTTTACTGCGTTCCTCACCCGCAAATCTCGTCGGGGTTGAATTTGAGGGGAGGTCCGAGCCCCGAGTGCCATTTCCTTTGTTTCGCCTTGCTTTCGCCGTGTGTGTATGTGTGTGTAGATGCTTGAGAGGCAATGCAGGCAGACGGCTGCACTGCTGTACCCCTGGAGTGCTTCATTAGGCTTAACCTCTTCCGAACTCATACTGCTCGATTGGAGTTTATAGGGGTGTAGAGGTTCTTCCCCTTGCTCCTCCACAACCTTAGTATGTCAGTGGATTCTCAACCCATGTGGGTCCTGGGCCCTTGGTCCTGGATGGCCTAGACTATCCGGCTTACCCCACCTGTAGGAATGGGCCCACAAGTGTGTTATTGAAATCGGAGTTTTGGATCCAAGTGCCCAATTTCTGGGCTTCCAAAGCCAGGTCCTAGCCACTTGCCCCTGTACACCAAATAGATAGTAGTGGTGAATGGCGGAGAAAGGAGATTTATTATACAGCCAGATGGGAAGAGGCAAAGTAAGCACTCAGCCCATCTTAAGTCATCTTTGGGGTACAGACAAAGAATTACAAAAAGTATGCAGAGTTAAACAGACCCATTCACAGGTCTGGTTGGGCATTATCTTAGTTCTTGTTCTGGGAGTGGTTCCTGAAGTTGTAATCCAGAGTCACCGTCGCTGAGGCAGATGGTAAATCCTGAGGAGATTCTACTGTTAAGAGTAGCTCTGTCCCTTGTCATGAAGATGTTATCAGTTTTGTCTTTGCTGTAATCCTAGGTGATTGCAAAGTGATTGTAGAGAAAATGGCTTCGCACAAAGACAAATACAAAACGAAGGCAGAGATTCCATGTTTTTTCTCCTGCTTTTAGTTAATTTGTGGGCCCAAGGAAGAAGTCAGTGTTTTTCAACAAAAGCAGTTTAAGTACCTGTTACATTTTCTGTGCCATTGACACCAGAAATATTTAGAATAAATCCTCAGTAATCCTGAAAATGGATGCTTCTGCAGTCCATACCAGGTACAGGATACCTTGATACTTACCATTGTATCTATTTTAAGACATCAAGTGAATTATCAATTCTCTTTGACCTGGAGCCAAAAAAGGAAGTTAAGATCAGTTGTGTGGTTTCATGATAAAGTATAAATTAAAATGGTGTTATTTTATCTGTGCTCAATTAGCAACTCAATCAAACAGTCAAAAGAACACCTCAGCTATTGTTAGATCCTTAAGCTATTTAAATAGTGAATATTTCCTATCCATGTTGTCTGTTACAGGAATGTTCCTGGTCATCTGAATCTCAACCATGTTGTCAAACTGCTTACAGAATTTCCTAAAAATTACAAGCACTCATCTATATTCAAGATTATGCCAGCAATTAATAAGAAATAAAAGATTTTTTGGAACTGGGCCGATATCCAGATTGCATAGGCGGGTTGTCATTACAGGCATTGGCCTCGTGACTCCTCTTGGTGTCGGAACTCAGCTGGTGTGGGATGGTCTTCTTCGAGGAGAAAGTGGAATTGTTTCACTGCTTGGTGAAGAGTATAAGAGTATCCCTTGCAGTGTTGCTGCTTTTGTGCCAAGAGGTCTTGCTGAAGGTCAGTTCAGTGAAGAAAATTTTGTGTCCAAATCAGATATCAAGACAATGTCTTCTCCCACCATCATGGCCATAGGGGCAGCAGAGTTAGCTCTGAAAGATTCCGGCTGGCATCCTCAGTCAGAAGCTGATCAAGTAGCTACTGGTGTTGCAATTGGTATGGGCATGGTTCCTCTTGAAGTTGTTTCTGAAATTGCTTTGATGTTTCAGACAAAAGGTTATAATAAAGTCAGCCCTTTCTTTGTCCCTAAGATTCTGATCAATATGGCAGCAGGCCAAGTCAGCATTCGATATAAACTCAAGGGCCCTAATCATGCAGTATCCACAGCCTGTACCACAGGAGCTCATGCTGTGGGAGACTCTTTTAAATTTATAGCCCATGGTGATGCTGATGTGATGGTGGCTGGAGGAACAGATTCTTGTATTAGTCCTTTATCTCTTGCTGGATTTTGCAGAGCCCGTGCTCTGAGCACAAACTCAGATCCTAAGTTGGCATGTCGACCATTTCATCCAAAAAGAGATGGTTTTGTAATGGGAGAAGGTGCTGCTGTGCTAGTGCTGGAAGAATATGAACATGCTGTTCAAAGAAGGGCCCGTATCTATGCAGAAGTTTTGGGTTATGGACTCTCAGGGGATGCTGGTCACATAACTGCCCCTGATCCTGAAGGAGAAGGTGCCTTAAGGTAAAAGATTGGTCATTTTGCTCAAAATGTTTTTTTTTTCAGCTGGTTGCAGTGGCTCAAACCTGTAATCCTAGTTACTTGGGAAGTGGAGATTGGGAGGGAGGATGGAGGTTTGAGGTCAGCCCTGGCAAAAAGTTCAGGAGACCCCATCTCAGCCAAAGGCTGTGTGCTGTATGTGGTATGCATCTGTCAACCCAGCTATGTGGGGAAGCCTAGAGAGAATCATTGTCTAGGCTAGGCTGTAGGCATAAAGTGAGACCCTGTCTCAGAAATAGCAACACTTAAAAGGGCTAGTGGAGTGATTCAAGTGGTAGAGTGCCTGCCTAGTGAGCACAAGGCCTTAAGTTCAAATTCCTGTACTGCCATTGGACCAAAAATCCAAAATGGGTTTTTATACAAGACATTTTATTGGAGTCTCAAATTAGAGAAAATTGTAATATGTGGTCTTGGTCTCTAATATCTCTGTGTCTTTCCATTTCAGACTAAACAAAGTATTTTTTACTTGTTTGCTTTAAATATTTGAAAAAATGTGTACATCCCTATAAAACTGTACTTTAGTCAAGGCCAAAAAGTTGCGAAGAAGACTATCTTCAGTTTCCCCTGCTCCATTGGTGCATCAGTATGCTCACTCCCTCAATCTTCCTCTTTGTCCCATTATCAGACCTGGACAATAAAGACAGCTCTTCTAGATGTCTCTGGTTTGTGTTCCATTTCAGTCATCTGTTCTTTTCAAAACTACTTTTCAACCTTTAATCACTCAAGGGTCTTACTAAAATGCTGATTCCGACTATTGGTTTAGGGTAACCCTTGAGATTCTGTGTTTCTTTTTTTTTTTTGTGGGGCTAGAGTTTGGACTCAGGCCTTTATGCTTGCAAAGCAAATGCTGTACCACTTGAGCCACAGTCCATTTTGCTCTGTTATTTTGGAGATGAAGTCTTGTGAACTATTTGCCTGGGCTGACCTTGAACCATAATCCTCCTGATCTTAGCCTCCCAAGTAGCTAGGATTAAAGGTGTGAGCCAGTGGCTCCCAAAAGATTCTGAATTTCTAACAAACTCCTAGGGTAATGCTACTGGCCTCTAAAGACCACATTTTGTAAAGAAACTATTGGTATTAGAGAGATAAATAATGAATTATGATTTTAAAGAAGGTTCTTGGCAGTATGTTAATTCTTAGCTTTCTTTCTTAGATCATATCTAATTAGCCACAAGTTAGCAAACCTTTTCTGTAAAGGGACAAATAGTAGCATATTTGGCTTTGTGGTATCTGTTGTAACTACTCTGACATTGTAGTATGAAAACAGTTATAGACAATAGTAGGTAAATGAATGGACACCAATGTCTTCTAATGCATATTTACAAAAGTAGGCATTTGTCCAGAGCCACAGTTTACTAACCCATACGTTACTATGCTAGTCATGTCAATCATAGTATCTAGCTAGATGCAGAATAGGAGAAACCTTTCAGCACCCCTCAAATTATACTGAGTTGTCTGCTAACAAACATGCAGCCCACAGAGCAGAAACTAAAAAAGGGAGAGGGTTGATATTCAGAAGGTCTGCAGAGGTTCTTCTAGAGAATTTTTTTATATTTATTTGGTTTTTTTTACTTCATAATTCTACATTTACTTAGAATTCTTATAGACTTAATAAAGAGGATTTTGAAAGGTTACTTAAAGCACTGAAGAAGTAGGTTGTTGGGAATTATGACAACTTTTACATTTAAATTCAAAAGAAAACTTTAAACATAGATTTACATCTTTATATTTTAAATTCCACCCTCATAAAAAATTCCTAGAAGGAAAATTCTAGTCTTGAGTCAACATCGGGTTTGTTTTTCCCCCAAGGAGAAATGGCACTTCAAATTAATGGAATTACATTTTATTTAAGTTGATATAGTGCCAGGTTAATGTGTTTAACTCATGGTGATGAGCCAGTCCAAGGTAGTGGGTATAACATTTTCATGCAGATGTCATCCTAACTCAAGTGATAATCCAAGATTGTGTTCATCCAGTGTACTCAGATATTTTTGTTTCATTCTCATAAAGCCATCCAGTTAAAGAACCTCCTATTAAATTTAGGCCAGGCACTGGTGGGTTATGCTTGTAATCCTAGCTACTTTGGGAAGCTGAGATCAGAAGGATTGCAGTTTAAGGACACCCTGGACAAACAATTCACAAGATCCTTCTCCAGAAAAACCAGAGCAAAATGGACTGGAAATGTGGCTTAGTAGCGTGGTTGCTTTGTAAGCGCAAAGCCGGGAGTTCAAACTCCAGTCTCACCAAAACAAAACAAACAATCCCACTGAACTTAGTTCTGATAAATTTCATTTCTTTTCTTACTAGATGCATGTCTGCTGCCGTAAGAGACGCAGGTGTACAACCTGAAGAGATATCTTATGTCAATGCACATGCTACTTCCACGCCGTTGGGTGATGCTGCTGAAAACAAAGCTATCAAGAGTCTCTTTAAAGATCACGCTTATGCTCTTGCAGTTTCCTCAACAAAGGGAGCCACAGGACATCTGCTGGGGGCTGCGGGGGCTGTTGAGGCAGCTTTTACTGCACTAGCTTGTTATCACCGGAAACTACCACCAACTTTAAATCTGGATTGTACAGAACCAGAATTTGATCTCAATTATGTTCCACTAAAGGCACAGGAGTGGAAAACTGAGAAAAGATGTATTGGACTCACAAATTCCTTTGGTTTTGGAGGCACTAACGCAACACTTTGTATTGCTGGCATGTAGACAAGTCATTTCTAATTAAACATTGGCTTTTAAATGCATAAGTATAAACATAATATGCACATGCACAGATTTACATATCAATACCCAGATACCCTTTATTTGTGCTAGAGGTTTTCAGTCTTGTCACAATTGATCTTTGGTGTAGGATAATTTTTTTGTTGCTGTTTAACAGCATCCTGGTCTCCCTACTAGATTCCAATAGAAACTCCTTCCCTAATGGTCATAATCAGAAGTGTCTGTAGACATTGCCAAATGTTTTCTGAGGGTTAAAATAACCTGCACATGAGAACTGCTGATCTTTGTTTTCCTAGTAGAAACAACTTTGTTTGATATTTCTCATCTATTCTTGTTCTTTTCACAGACATTTACAGAGTAGTTGCTTTGTGGTAGGCAGGGCTGCTCTAGGTACACCACTCACATACAATATATAGGAAGTAATGTGGTGTAATTGGAAGATTGCATTATTGATCAGCATTCTTTGAGTGTAGCTGACAGCCAGTAATGATCTGTTTACCCCTTAACCTATTTGGATCCTTGGTTCTTTGTATTATCCACACTGTAACTCAGCAAAGTAATGGAATTTCATAAACTTCTAAGTTACCATTTCTCTCACCATTTCTTACCTTTCTTGTATTTATGCTGGCACCTCATGATTAATGGACCCCAAGATCTTTGTAACAGAAATTGTTGGTCTCTCAGGCCACTCCCCTCTGCCCACGTCTAACCTCATTGCAGCTACGGTACTATCCTGTGTTCTCCCAACCTCCCACAAGTTGTGGTGGTTCTGCTACTTTTCTGTCCTGGAGATTTCTCTAAATCCAAAGGATCTCATTCATCCCCAGAAGGCTGGAAGTGCTGAAATGGGAAGGGGGAAGTTCCCCGGAAGTGACTATCAACCAGTAAGGGATGGCAGTTGACACCCCTTCTTTCAGAGACAGCTACCCTTCTACACAGTTCCTCAGAGGGTCCCCAGTGAAATGTAGTTTCAGTTGTCCACAGCATTAACCAGCTTAATAATACCCCCTTTCCTTTTTTTTTTTCCTTCTCACTGTTCCTCTGCTGATTTTAATCGTATTCCCAGAAATCGTCTCCCAAGCAGACCACCTTTTCTCAGGTTCTGCTTTCTAGGTGACTCAAACTAAGAAAGTTTTTGTTGTAATGGTATATTGTAAAAAAGGATTAATGGAATGTATTTCTGTAGTAATTAGTAGAGTTTTCCACATTTTAATGGGCTACATATATTGCCTACCCACTGATCTTGGTTATAGTGCTTTGTCCTCTGAACACCTAACACTTCAGCCAAGTATTCATCTACCTATAGTCATTTGTAATTCCCATTCACATTTATTCAACTGTTTCTCAGCAGTCCCTTTACATTTGTCTTCCCTTCCCAACTCCATGTGGTGTTGGACTTCAAACTCCAGCATCAGAATCTAGCAGATGAACAACATAACATGTCTACAGAAACCTTTTAAACAGCTTTTACAATTGGGTAATGTCTAATCCCTATAACAAGTATCTGTATCTAAGTGGTTCTCTTTCTCTGATTGAACCCATGGGAAGAAGAGAAGAATGGGGATTATTGAGAATGACATCACATTTTCTTTAAGTGATACTATTCTGGATGCAGAGTGAGGAGCAGACTGGAGAGAAGCCTTGATTGCCTAAAGGGAACATAGTCAGAAGGGTATTGCAAATCTGTATGAGAAAAGATGGTGGATGAAGCAGGATATTTTGAGCCAAGTCTCATCCAAAGTTGGAAATCAAGTTTGTTGTGTTTGTGTGTGTGGTGGTATTGAGTTTTGAACTCAGGGCCTTGCTAGACAAGTGCTTTGCCACTTGGGCCATGTCTGCATACCTTTTTTGCTTTAGGTTATTATTTTTTTAAAGTAGATCTTGCCTTTTGCCCTGGGCAGCCTGGGACTGGGATCTTCCTATACCTAGGCATCTCACATAGCTGGGATCACAGGTGCATGCTACCAAACCTGACTTTTTTTGTTGAGATGAGAATCTTGCTAACTTTTTTGCCTGGGCTGACCTAGCTGGGATTACAGTTGTGAGCCACAATGCCCAGCCCTCAAGTGTGTTTTTTAAAGCAATGATATTAAGGCATTTTTTCCCCCTTTGTTGATGCTGGGGATTGAACCCAGAGCTTGCACATGTCAGGCAAGTAATGTACCACTTGAGCCACAGACCCAGCTCAAAATGTACCCATTTTAAGTGCAAAGTTTAATGAGCTTTGATAAGTATATGCACCCATATATTTAATGACTACTTTAAAGAACATTTAATCTCTCCCATATTCCATATTCCTTTGTGTCCTTTTGCACTCAGTCCCAATTCTAGATCATCACTGAAGAACTTTCTGCCACCATAGATAAGATTCACCTTTTCTAGAGTTCAATAAAAATGGAGTTATACAGAATATATTCTTGTATCTAGCTCCTTTCACAATGTTCTTGAGGTTTACCCATATTATTATGTAGTAATTCCTCTTATTGCTGAATTTTTAAATTTAATCAATATAGATACCCTTTTACTCCTTTCTTAATCCCTATCTAATTTAAAAATTTTTAATTTCATTATTATTTTCAAATGAAGATCTATTACTTTTTAAATGGAAGAAAGACAGGATTTTGAAAGTCTGTAGAGCCAAGATAGCTTTTGAAGCAAAGAATTCTTCCACCTGAAAAATAACAAATTTGTAAGGGGCTAACAAATGATGCACACATACACATTCATATAAATTATTAAGATTTCTAAAAGTATTGCTAGAAATTTGAGAATTTCTTGTGATCTGGTACCAAGAGCATATATATGACTAGTTTGGGATCCAAATATCCTGTCCCCATTCTGAGGTCATTACATTTAAAGAAAACAGAACTTAATAAAAAAATAGCTTTTAGTTTAGGTCCTTTGAGAAGCAGACCCCAAAACAGAATTTTTTGTGCAAGAAGTTTATTAGAGAAACACAGCTACTGCTACATCTTGTCAATGTGATGCTTCTTGTGTCTCCTGGCAAGATCAAACTTCCAGTACTGCAGACCACAGAGTTGCAAAGATAGGAAACAAAATTCTTCATGCATCATCACCAGGGCCACTCCTGTTTCCCAACTCCCCTGGTTTTTGAACCCAAGAATTCTTATTGAAGACTTAGCTGTGTATAGCCTATGCTGCATCCTAAAGATGGCACCATGCCCATTGAGAATGTTGCTTCTGAACTGGGAATTCATGTGTCCTTTTAGAAGGCTGCTACAGCTTTGGGGCTTGCTACTTCTGGATACACCCCATGGGTCCTCTGGTCATGATAAACTCAAATCACTCGAACAGGTTATTTCCTTTGCTGTACAGTCATCTTTCCCTGCTCAAATGCTATGATTGTGGTGGTGTTGGCTGAGGCTCTGTGGGCAGGAAATGCAACCCCATACATGAAATAGGCATCTATACCTGTAAGGAGGAACCACAGGTACTTCCTTTCAAGCTAGGTTAGACTTTCAGAGGCAGCAGTAACTAGATCAATCTTGGTAAGCTTAAATGTATTTATTGGCTCCTATGTAGTTTCCATTTCTGTCAATTTTTTGTTTTATTAAGATGCCATATGTGCAAGTTTTAGAGTGGCCAATGACAAAGTCCGGCTAATGTGAAATGCCATTATCATTTTGTCAATTTGGTCATTCAGTCCCCCAGTGTGATGCATACCTTCTGCTTGATATAAATGTATGATCCAGAAGTCTTTACTCTTCTTTTTTTTTTTTTTTTTCTTTTATTATTCATATGTGCATACAAGGCTTGGTTCATTTCTCCCTCCTGCCCCCACCTCCTCCCTTACCACCTACTCCGCCCCCTCCCTCTCCCCCCCCAGTACCCAGCAGAAACTATTTTGCCCTTATTTCTAATTTTGTTGTAGAGAGAGTATAAGCAATAATAGGAAGGAACAAGGGTTTTTGCTGGTTGAGATAAGGATAGCTATACAGGGCATTGACTCACATTGATATCCTGTGCGTGGGTGTTACCTTCTAGGTTAATTCTTTTTGATCTAACCTTTTCTCTAGTTCCTGTCCCCTTTTCCTATTGGCCTCAGTTGCTTTTAAGGTATCTGCTTTAGTTTCTCTGCGTTAAGGGCAACAAATGCTAGCTAGTTTTTTAGGTGTCTTACCTATCCTCACCCCTCCCTTGTGTGCTCTCGCTTTTATCATGTGCTCAAGTCCAATCCCCTTGTTGTGTTTGCCCTTGATCTAATGTCCACATATGAGGAGAACATACGATTTTTGGTCTTTTGGGCCAGGCTAACCTCACTCAGAATGATGTTCTCCAATTCCATCCATTTACCAGCGAATGATAACATTTCGTTCTTCTTCATGGCTGCATAAAATTCCATTGTGTATAGATACCACATTTTCTTAATCCATTCGTCAGTGTGGGGCATCTTGGCTGTTTCCATAACTTGGCTATTGTGAATAGTGCCGCAATAAACATGGTGTGCAGGTGCCTCTGGAGTAACAGTCTTTTTGGGTATATCCCCAAGAGTGGTATTGCTGGATCAAATGGTAGATCGATGTAGCTTTTTAAGTAGCCTCCAAATTTTTTTCCAGAGTGGTTGTACTAGTTACATTCCCACCAACAGTGTAAGAGGGTTCCTTTTTCCCCCATCCTCGCCAACACCTGTTGTTGGTGGTGTTGCTGATGATGGCTATTCTAACAGGGGTGAGGTGGAATCTTAGTGTGGTTTTAATTTGCATTTCCTTTATTGCTAGAGATGGTGAGCATTTTTTCATGTGTTTTTTGGCCATTTGAATTTCTTCTTTTGAGAAAGTTCTGTTTAGTTCACTGCCCATTTCTTTATTGGTTCATTAGTTTTGGGAGAATTTAGTTTTTTAAGTTCCCTGTATATTCTGGTTATCAGTCCTTTGTCTGATGTATAGTTGGCAAATATTTTCTCCCACTCTGTGGGTGTTCTCTTCAGTTTAGAGACCATTTCTTTTGATGAACAGAAGCTTTTTAGTTTTATGAGGTCCCATTTATCTATGCTATCTCTTA